TCGCGCTGCACACCAGCGAGCACGACACCCAAGGCAAGTACTCGTGCCCCATCTGCCACAACTACCGCGGCTTCTCGCGTTACAACGTCGAGATGCACATCAGAGTACACGAGGGGCGGGGCTTCGGGTGCCGCGTCTGTGACAAAAATTTCCCGGTCGCCGCGCAAGCGCGCGATCACGAACTTTACTTCCACACTGGCCTCAAACCTTATCAGTGCGACTTGTGCGGCAAGTGTTACGTTTCGGCCGCCGCTCTGAACCAACATCAGAGAGATTTGCACTTTAATGACCCCGACAGGCACGACTGTCCGAATTGCGGCAGGCATTTTGGTAGCGAGGGAGGTTTAAGGAGGCACAGGTCGTACCACCACAACGACGGAGATGACAGTAAAACTTACGCAGTGTGTCAGGTTTGCGGGAAACGGTTATCCAAGGGCAGGTTCAAGGCCCATCTGAGATTGCATACCGGCGAAAGGCCGTACTCTTGTACCGGTTGCTCCAAGTCGTACCCAGACAAGACGAAATTGGCGGAACACGTGAGATCCGAGCACCGAATTGGAAAGATGTTCGTGTGCAGGGACTGCGATAAGGGATTCGATGACTGGAGCAGTTTGAAGGAGCACGAGACTGAACACGCATTGGATTCCAAATGGGACTTCGTGTGAGGTTGTTATTATTCTTCCAGTGTCCAGTGATATTTTGTTTTGCTTTCCTTAAGTGGGGCTTCTGGAAGGTTAACTAGCGGCTCGATGGGATTTTTTGCGATCTTATCAGGGTGTTTGGTTGAGTGGAACATCTGATGGTTCTCAACAGATTGTGCTATTTAGGTTCTCGCCGACAGTTTTTTCACTTGCTGGAAGGCACAGAAGTCAACAAGTCTGAAAGTTAGCGTTGATTTACCTCAGAGTTCAATTTTGGATCCGGTATTGCTTCGCAAATAGCAACTCTGCAATTTTCAGAAAAGTCATAGAAACTTCAATTGAGGCAACAGCCTTTAAATAATTAAGCCAGTGATTCGTAAAAAAATATAACTAATTATATAATAATAATTATATATAATTATATAAAATTATATAATGGTTTCAAATTCTGGTTACACCCGAACAAACAGAGACAACTTGGACACACATGATTGATTTTGTGTTTTTATGCTTAACAATAAATAATAATTTATGTATTTAAAAATCGGATACAGGGTGAAAATCTTTTTCACAATCCTTCGTTGAAAAATGTTTAACGAACGAAAACTCAAAGTGTACAAAGTCCAAGCCTATCAAAGATTACCTGATAAATAAATGTTTTTACCACATAAACAGTCTTTTAGTATAATAGTCGATGTCCATATACGCTATATGTATGTTTGGAAAAATAAAAATTGTGTTGTATTGTGTATATCATGATATTTTACTCGAGGGTGACTTTTTATGGGGCCCCCGAATGTTGGACAATGAAGAGTCCAAAGAAACTATGCTGATTAGCTGACTACAAAGATATTCGAGTTCTTGGAGGCAATACCGAATTTACACAATTTGTGCGGTCGTTGAAACCTGGCAAAGCTTTTGTACACTCTAATTCGATCTCGTTTCTGGATTTTATTAAATAGTCTGAAGATGAAGATGAAAATAGGTCACTTTGATTACTTATTGGACAATCCAAAAGCAATTCAACTTCTTGTTTGCTCGGATAGAAATTGTGCAGCATAATCTCTTTAGCATAGGCTCTGTAATAAATAAAAGTTGTCCTGTCAAGTACATCCAATTTTTCTTCCTTGGTATCGTTCCCGATCCCCTAAAGCAGGTAAGTGACGTCCTCTGGAATCTGGCTCGGTCCGAACCCAACACAGCTCGACCCCCTTACTAACGCTCGCCTATTTTTAGGTTATACGGAGACCTGGTCGAGCTAGTGTCTATTAAACAGGAAAAAATGCCCGAGACGAAGAAACGAAAGAAAGCAGGCAAGCTGAGTAGGATAACGAAGGTGGGCTCGAAGAGGATCGCCAAGCCGAAGCAAAAACGCGCCAAACTGAAAACGGTCAAAGTGGAACTAGACGAGCCGATAGAGTGCGAGATTTGTAACGCTACGTACAAGAACAACGTGGCGTTCGCTTTGCACACGATACGTCACAGCGACGACTCGAAGTACTCTTGCCACCTGTGCCCGTACAAAAACTCGTCCAAGTACCACGTCGAGATGCACGTGCGCGCCCACGAAGGCACCACCCGGTACAAGTGCGAAGTATGCCAGAAGGCGTTTACGGTAAGCACCCACGCGATCGAGCACAAGTACTTCCACACGGGCGAGAAGCCTTTCCAGTGCGAGATCTGCGGAAAGCACTTTATGTTCTCGAGGTTTCTCGCGGCTCACCGCAGATCGCAGCACTACGAGATACTCACGGGCAGCCCGCTCGTAAAGTTCGACTGCCAGGTGTGCAACAAGCATTATGCGTCAGCCTCAGGCTTGAGACGTCACAAACTGAGCAAGCACAACGATAGCGGTATCGATTTGTCGGTACTGTGCGACATTTGCGGCAAGAGGCTCTCGAGCAAGGAGAAACTGAAGTTTCACCGGAGGATACACACCGGATACAAGCCGTTCGCTTGCCAAGTGTGCTCGAAGGCTTTCACCAAAAAAGATCAGCTGATTGAACACGTCAGAGTGCACACCGGAGAAAAGCCGCACATTTGCAAGTACTGCGGACGAGGGTTCACTCAGAGGACCCCGCTGAGGATCCACGAGAGGACTCACAGCGGCGAGAGACCGTACGTGTGTCCTTGCTGCGGTAAAGGTTTCGTGACTAAGACGTCGGTCAGCTCGCACATGAAGAGCTGCGCTGGCAACGTGGCGTCCGCGTTCGCGGCCACGTGGATGGGGCAGCCGTTCCCGCCCGCGCCCAAGTATTTCTCGCTGTAGAAGAGAGTGGCGCAGTCGGGTAGGATAGTTGGGGCGGCGGGTATATTTTTACCACGGCAATTGGCAGACTTCCGTGCAATTTGTGCAATCGGGTGGCTAGGAGGGTCTTTATTTTTTATTCTTAACTCATTTTACTGCGCGTATGGGTTTATATGGAGGAGGTGTTGCGACTTTAGGGTGGCGTGGGAAGCTCTCTCGGTTTATGTTTATGTTTTTGTTATTAAAAGTGGTTAAAAAAATAAGCGATAAAAAGATATTCAGAAGGAACATTAGAATCCTTGGTGGTCCGAAGGACGCTAAAAATTGATGCCCCATTTTTTTTTTCTAAAATGAAAGTTGAGATAAACATGGCAAAGCTATTGTGGATTTTTAACGGCAGTAAGAATTGGTTTAAATAGGGCTTTTTACCTATTTTTTTTCAATTTCTTAATTTCACACCATCTGTGCTTTTCAATAATTTTATTGGAGTAGGCAAAATAACAAGGTGCGCGTTTTGATAAAATGCTTTAGTTGACAGCCGTGAGATATTTTAATTAATATTTCAATTTCTGTTTTCTTCTTCCTTTTGCTATGGCTCATATTAACACAAAATAGAACAATTATGAAAATGTTATCAATATGTATTTAATATATAGCATACGCACAACAAAAAGTTTATTTTAACATTAGAGAAAGTTAATTTCTCTAATTAATTAAATTGTATTTGTCTTATGTGTTTGTGAATCTAATAACAAGCCTAATAAAATTATGTTCCACTTAAAAAAAAAACGAATTTAGTTTATATATCAAAATTTGTGAATTTGTGGATCTCTAAAGCCTCTAGTATAGTAGTAAGAGAGGTAAGTCGTGAACTCATAAAATCGAGACAGACCGTATATCTATTTAAATTGTTCCCAAATTGAGTTTTCTTATAAAAAAATCTTAACTAAATTTACAAAAGGTAAATAGAAAGCTGTAAATAAAATTACAATCCGGACTACAATTTTTAAAAAACTAGTAACAACGGTTTAGAAATCTTAAATTCAAAATAGGAGGTTCTAAGCAGAGAACAGTAGTATATATTTACTATTTACAAATCTTCTGGGTTCCTCCTGCGTCGGTTATTGTTGAATCGAACTTGCTGAGGTTTCGCCAATCATTTTGTTGGTTTCTTCAGAGCTTAACTAAAATTATAGAAGTGGAAGTTTCTTTGAAAAATTAGCAGATATAGATATTATATATTTTTACCTGACAATTAGCAGTAAAGTTATTAAATATTTCATACTGAAAGTTATTTTTGTTTCTGTTCTAGTAGGAATATTTTATTTATATAAGATTTCTTTGTTTTTATGTATAAAAATTGTTGGACAAAAATTCGGTCCGAGTCTACTCTTCCTCCAAAAGTTATGATATTGTGAGAGGTTGAAGAGAATACACACGACTAGTATATATTTAAGAGAGGAGGGGTATTTATGCAAGACTTGAATATCAATATAGCAAATATAAACCACTAACTAACTAACTAAAATTACATATTTTTTTACGAAATATGTCCGTCAAAATTGATTAAAATCTAAACTAAATGAAAGATTTGTTTAAACTTTTCTATTGTAATCTATAACATTATCGAGAAATATCTTCATTATGGAGGCGTTTTTTCTTATTTAATTCATAATTAAAAAAAAAACGAGTATTGTCAATTAATTATCCTTCTTCTTCAGTGAAAAAGGTTAATTAAAAATAAATATCATTTCGGTTACCGAAGCGTGAGCTTTCCACGGGTTCATTGTGTACTGTTGCCCCAGAGTTGTTTTTTATTTCGGTTTTTTATGCGGACCACCTAACTAAATGCGAACGCCAATCTTGATTTTTAGAGTAGTGTATATTTTTGTTATTGGAGAATTTATAGGAAAAAGGAAAAGTTTGTTTCACGTCGTAAACCTGTTTACTTTCCATGAATAAATTTTACGAATACACGTTTGCCTTTTCATTATTTTCCGTATTTGCCCTGTTCGAATGAAAATTAAAATTCGAGGAGTTCAATTACCGTGCGTCCGGTCCTGTCGCCCGACTCGTCGCACCCGCTAACGACGACGGGAACCTGCGCGCTGCCGACACATCCAAGATGGCGAAATACAGAGTGTTGTGTCGCCGACGGCTCTAGTAGATCGCCGGCCATTCCAAAAGTAATGTAAGCGTTTTGTGATAGTGAGATCGATGCGGAACCGCATTAAATCACCGATTCGACGGTAAATTCGCACGTTTACCGCGATGGAGACCAAACAGTAAGTAGGCTTCGGCTTTTCGAGATGGTCGTCGGGTATTTGCTCTTTAAATTTCGTCTCCTTCTCTCGATTACGGATCACGCTTGCGCGCGAACGGTGGACCGGAATCTGTTCTGTGCCCAGATCGTTTATGTTTCGGTCCATTTGAATAGGCCCCCGTAATAATACGGAAAGAGTGTACGAAATGAAAAATCAATACGGCTTGTAATCTGTCGCCCAGGACCGGAGTCGGCTGGTCGCCAACTCATCAAGATACATTTTAACTTAATTTCTAAAGATTTAATACTCATAGCTATAATTAATGACGTGCTAATTTAAGAATGTGACTTCAACTGCTGAACTATTTTAGACCAATATATGCAAAAAAGAAAATTCACGTTAGTTTTGAAAAATTTAACAATTCAGTGTTAACTGGGTTCGATAAATTATTTCGTCGTGAAAACGTTGACGACTTAACGCCATCTGTAGATTTTTTGCGCAAGGGGCAGGTGTTTGTAAAGCTTAAAGTGTTTTACATATAACTTTTGGTATAGAAAATAAAAAGAAAAAAAATAAGTAAACTGATGAACAAATTGGATTGATTTATTTTTTTTAGCACAATTAGAAAAAAACAGTAAATTTAATTTGGCCAATAAACCTTAAAATAATAAATTTTGCCTTTTAACGAAAGATGTAAATATTTTATTGTTTGCTTTTTGGGTCATTTAATTATTTCGGTTTATAAAGGAACATTTTACACCATTACATCTAAAAGTGAATTACGTCTAATAATTAACCTTGTATAGTTTTTTGTATGGCATAAAAAAAAAGATCAAAAACCGCCGCAAAAAACATCGCTCTAGCTTTTTTTATATGGATTATTTTCTGTTTCTATATAAACATTTCTAAAGCACCTTTTTACTTTTAAAAATGATATTTTTGAAAAAAGTTATTTACGGAGTACTTTTTATATAGGATACCGTGTATATTTTTGTATCAATATCAGAAAACAAATGCGGGTTCAAATTTTAGGGTTTGTTTTCATTTATTTTGTTTTTTAAATATTTTTTCACTTTTTGTTAATGAACTTTTTCTCATATATCCGTGGAAACTTTCCTAGTTTGCCAGATACACAAGTGTCAAAATTTGAAGATTTTGGGTTTGTTTAAGTTTTAAGGATTTTCTGTTTGGAAACTTTCACTAGATAATTAATAAAAAGATTTACTTTTTACATTTTTTTACATTAAAACTTTAAATAGTAAAAACTAGATAATTGAATCAAATTTCAAAATTAAACATAATACAAAAGATAGACAAAATAAAGGCAGGTCAAACTATTTATTTTTTATTTTAACTGATTATGTATCAGCGAAAAAAAAATTAATATTACTAGTGCAGTGTCACTGATGTAACTGATGAACTCATCACATCACTAATTATCACTATTTATTACTTAGACAGTGTAGTGTGCATATTAGATAAATAAAACTTATTGTTTTCAAAAATAAAAGTTCCTTTTCTCCAGTAATACCTCATTTTCTTTAATTCTTCTGTATATCAAGAGCGTTCATTCGTAAAATTTTTCGAAATAAAATAACTAATATAAATTTATCTTCGAAAATTTGAACAGTCTGACTACAGAGGTTTTCTTAACCTAAGCCATGACGTAACTAACCATGTTTTTTTTTTGTCAGTGTCAATCAGCGTAATGTAAAAGAATTTCTAAGAAATTTTTTATTTAAAAAAAATAATACAGGACAAAGGTACGATAAAAATTCAAGCGGTAAACACAAATTGAATTTTTAGCTGTTTTATCCTAAAAAAGTCAGTGGCGCTCATTTTTATTTGTCGAAAATGCTGGTTGGAGAGTCTTTTTTAATTAATAACTTTTAATCCAATTTTAACAATATGGGAAGACTTATATAAACTCTGTTTTAAGTTTGCATCTTGCATCTTGAAAATTATGCATTCCCTGCCGTGTGTTGGTATCAATTGCTTAAATAACCCGTGAAACAATAAATTGACGTTTTTAAGAATTGGTCCGTCGACAGTTTCGCAACCGTTTTCTCATTTTAAACCACTCCATCTGTATTTTTGCGTTCGCTCACTCCGCAGAGAGAAGGGACCGCGAGTTTCCGTCTCACGCGCAACCCTCACCGCACTACCCGAAATTTCAGGGCTGTTCCCGTTACCTATTTCACGCCGATCGTGACGATCGACGAAATCAAAGACAACCCCCCGACCGTTACCAAAGAGACCGTACCAAAGGTGGAGATCAAAGACGAGATCGAAGAAACGCCCCCCGAAACCAAACGAAAACGGGGTCGGCCGAGGAAAATCGAACCCGACCCTCCGCAGAAGAAGAAGAAACGCAACAAGAGAAAGTCGACGAAACCGAAGAAAAAACCTCAGACCGTCGAGACGGACGACGACGTCACCGTCGAAATTAAAGTGGAGCCGAAAGACGAAGACGAACTGATCGAGACTCCCGTCACCTCCGCCAAACTGTACAAGTGTCCCGCGTGCAAAGACGATCGCGACCGCACCGAGAAAGAATTAAAAGAGCACTACAAGACCGAGCACCCCGGCAAACGTTTGCGCGCCTCCAGGTTCTCGCAGGACCTCCACGCTTGCGACGTGTGCGGCAAGAGTTTCAAGGCGGCGTCCAGCCTCAAGGACCACATGGAGACCCATAACAATTACTACTACTGTGAATCGTGCAACCACTCGACGAAGAAGATCCTCGACCACGTGGTACACTTGAGGATGCACTCACTTGTCGGGTTGTTCCAGTGTTTGATGTGCGAGTTCAGCACGGTCGAGATTAACGAGATCAACGATCACGTGACCAATCACGAGGAGATCCTCAAGTATTGGTGCGACTCGTGCAAAAAATCGTTCCAGATACTTAGCCACTTCCAGGAGCACGACAACTTCCACACGGGTCTGAAACCGTTCGATTGCGAGTATTGCGGCAAGTGTTTCATGTACTCGCGGTACCTCCACGCGCACAAAACCAACCTCCACAAGGAGGACATGAACTGCCCGAGTAATTACGAGTGCGTCATCTGTAACAAGAGATACCAGCACCGGAACAGTCTCAAGTTGCACATGAACTCGCACACGGGGAACTTTTCGATATGCGACGTGTGCGGGAAGACATTGTCGAGCAAGGAAAAGCTCAAGTTTCACCTGAGGACCCACACCGGTTTCAAGCCGTACAGCTGCACGTTCTGCGGCAAGAGTTTCACCAAGAAACCGATCCTCGTCGAACACGTCAGGGTGCACACGGGAGAGAAGCCGTACGTCTGCGACTACTGCACCAAGTCATTCTCCCAGAGAAGCAGTTTGGTGATACACATGCGCGGCCACACCGGAGAGAAACCCTACGTGTGTCAGTTTTGCACCAAGGGTTTCGTGGCCAAGGCGATGCTCACGATTCACCTGAAGTCTTGCAAGGGACTGTTCCACATTTCCAAGACGGAGTATTGATGCGGTTCAAATAAAAGTTTGCTCCGCCCCGCGGCGGTTCTGTTTTGTTCGAACGTCAGTAACGCCCGGTGCAGGCGCCAGATGGCGCGCGCGTTCCGTTCGGTCGCCTAACTTCAGACTATTTTTCTAGTCAAGCAGTTTTGTGGAATAAATGTTATTTAAAATTTGAAATTATTGTTTAAATAATATTTATTTTTGTAGTTAGGGGTATTAAAAAAAATGTTCCATTCCATTTAGTCTTGTACGATTCCTCATCGTTTGCATTTAGTATCTAAGGTTTATGTATCTAGCGCGGAAACATATAGTTCGATGCAGATTGTGGCGAGTTGCACCCTTGTTTGACGTGTAAATACATCTTCAAAATGGTCATGTTTTTTTTTTCGCCCAATGACAAGCGAATCAATTATACAGGTACCTCGAACATGGTCTATAGTGACTCTAAATCAGATTAAGCTCTAACCAAGGTCTAAAGTGAAGTAAACGAACCTTAAAACAACGCATCTGAGTGAAATTTTCATGGTTGATTGTTGGTCGTGTATTTTTCGAAAATTAAACTTCTCATCTTTAATAACAAGAGAAGACAGAATGTTACAAACTTTCCTCGAAAAGACCCCACAAAATTTAAATTGTTTTATCTATTTTATTTCAAAAAGCATTTAGGCAAACCTTTTAACTATTTACATCATTGTAGGAAATTTATTAATTGACGTAATAGTTGTTCATGCAGGATGTTACAAGAAAGCTTGTCAATCTGTTAACATTATGTTTTTTGGCTTTTTGACTTTCCGGGTGTCACTTTCCATTTGAACCCTTTGTTTTTAATACACAAGGCGTCAAAGTTAACCTTTTAAAATGCATATCAATATCTCCATTAATTAGATTAATTGTAAGTTATGTTTTTATTTACCTTAAAATTAAAAAAAAAGTTGTGCGTGTGTGTATCAAACAAAAATTTTAAAAGATTTTAATTTGTGGTGGTGATTCCTTGAATTAGACAAATCCTCGTGATCGTCAAAATTGACAAACGTCAGCAAAATGTGCTTCATAATATAAATAAAACTTAACACCATAAAATTGAAACTGAGGCACCCTTTCAGGTTTGAGAAATTGCTTTACCCGAATAATAATCATAAACGTTTTTCGCAAAGTCATTTTTCTTTACTATGGACTTATTTTTTTCTATTAGTTGCTCATTGATTTCAACTAGTTACGTTTGTCGTCGTTTATTATTTTATCGAGTGGCGATCGGACATTTCAAATTCCGATTAAAAATAAACCAAAGAAAAATTACAATTTTGACTTTTTGACGTTTTCTGTCAAAAATCGAAACGAACATCCCCGACAGGTGTTGCTGTTGTTTTCGCCAACCGCAACGATAAGACTGCCAATCAATAAACATTTAAAGAATCGAAGCGAAGTTTCATTCACCCGTCGATCACTCCCCGTCCCGCCACAGTATTAACTCTCATCCCACCCTTTCCAGGCTGACGCGGGCCTGTACCCAGTCGGACGTTGAAGAGATCGTCATCCAAGTTATAAACGATGCTCCAGACGACTTACCGACGCTCGTGGACCTTAAGGAAAACGTCAAAGTAGAGCTGCACCCTTGCACGGAGTGCGAGATGACATTCCAAAATGTCACCGGATTGGCATTGCATGGCTACAAGCACTTCAGACGCTACGTTTGCCCGCTGTGCGGTTTCGTGACGAAGAGCAAAACACGACAACCCATTATAAGTCACATCAAGCGCCACGAGGGCAAGTACGCGTACAGATGCGAAGTATGCCGCAAGGGATTCCTCTGCAAGAGACAGCTGGACGACCACATGGAAATCCACGCCGATATACCCAGGTACGAGTGCGAGATATGCAACAAGAGGTTCACCGTCAGACGTTACCTTAACGTTCACAAGGCGTATAATCACAAACGCGAGCTTTATGGGGTCGAAGAGATCTATCAGTGCGAGGTGTGCGGCAGAGACTTTACGTTCGAAAAGTCTTTGACCCGGCACTTGAGCACCATCCATAAGATCGGCGAAGATAGGACGGTAAAGTGCCCGGTATGTCAGAAGGTGATAGCGAACAATTACAATTTGAAGAAGCACATGAGGGTGCACACGGGGGAGAAGAAGTTCTGCTGCGACTTGTGCGGTAAAGCGTTCGCAGAGTTGAAGTATTGGAAACAGCACCAGAAAGTCCACGCCAAGGTGCGGTACAGGGGTGAAGCGGAAGAGGAGACGGTAGCGTATGTGGTCGAGGGTGTGTTCTTGGACTCTGAATCCGCGTGAGCCAAACGCGACCGGTAGCGAATATTTTATATGTTTTTTTTTTTTTTTGTCGGGGTTAATAAAGAGTGACTGATGACCGAGTTGACGGTGTTTCATTTTGGGATCATATGAGGACATTGAAATTCAAATAGATCACACTGTTTTAATTTTAAAATAGAAGACGCACTATTAGGCCAATTAATGTAATATATTTTGATTAATTAACCTCTATTTGGTCCTAAATGCGTGTAACCTGTGTTTAGAGCAGTCCAGGTGAATTTAACTTTTAGTAGCTGGAAAACATTGCAATCTAGTCATAAATACCGAAGACTAAATTCTGCGTCGATTGACACATTAACCTTCAAACTCGGTTATTATTGATTCTATTAATCACCAAAGTACCAAATTTATAAACAATTTACTTCATGAATTCTGAAAGAAGAACCTCTCAGAAAAACAAGTACTTCAACTTCTCGCCCGTCAGTGGACGCATTCTATCGCCAAGGGTAGTTGAAACTTCTTCAAGTTTCTTGGAAAGAACACTAGACACTATCAAGGTTTTCCATCATGAAGATGCAGATCATTTCAGCTGGTCAACGGTTCTTGGCAGGTCTCTATTCATTCCGATTTCTAAAATTTATAGTTTGTTGGTATTTGTTTTAGCGGTTTTTGAAATAACTCGAATTTCTTATAGAATGTTCATATACATGCGTTGGTGATATTCACAACGAACCCTCGATAGATTTTCATTATTTCAATAAAAGAGGCAAATCTCTTAATATTAATTAAATTATCAACGTGAAACCTCCAATCTGATCGTGCTTTTAGTTTTGGATGCACTTTTGAGGCCAACCTTCTCATTCATTTCGCACATACGTACATTTAATTCATTTTTGCCTTAAATTCCTGCGCAATAAAATTAACGCGTCCTACTTTATTAATAATTTTTTCACATATATCTGTCCTTGTATCTAATGTAACGATACTGAAATACTGAACAAATAAAAGTAAAAATTTATTTGGATGGAAAATAATAAATATCCCGCTAGGGACAATTTGGGCTGGTGTTTTTATGCGCTTATCAAATATCACCATCGATTCATCGAGATTTTTTCCCAGTTTCTCGATCCTGATCTTCGGTAACGAGTGCGAGAGAAGTATCGAGACAACGCCGACGAACAGTAACCCATATCAATTTCAGGTGCGGGATCGGTCGAGTCAAAAAACGTTCGGTCAAAAAGCCCACACGAGCGGAATGGGACAGAAAGAGGCTGTGCAACGTGTGCGGCAGATTTTTCCCACAAAAAACCCTAAACAGGCACGTTAAAGCCCACGGACCCTTCGACTGTTCGCAGTGTTTCCTCAGTTTCAAATCGGAGGAGCTTCTGGCCGACCACCTCAACGTCCACAAGACCACCCATTACGACTGCGACAAGTGCAACATGATCTTTAAAATGCCCAAGGAACTGGCCCTTCACCGTTTCGCTCACGTGAGGAAATACGTTTGCCCTTTGTGCGGGTTCGTCGCCAACAGTCGTAGCAGCAACTCTATCATAGCTCATATTAAACGGCACGAGGGCAAATACAAAGTGCGGTGCGAGATTTGCAAGAAGGGGTTCCTCAGCCAGCGGAAGCTCGACGATCACATGGAAGTGCACGAAAACGTGCCCAAATACGAGTGCCAGTTGTGTTGCAAGAGGTTCACGGTCAAGTCTTACTTAACTTTGCACCACACCCTCAATCACAAGAAGGAACTGTTTGGGATCGAGCAGATTTACCAGTGCGAGGTGTGCGGCAGGAACTTTACTTTCGAGAAATCTTTGAGGAGGCACCTCAGCGCCATACACAAAATCGGTGAAGATAGGACGGTAAAGTGTTCGGTATGTCAGAAGGTGATAGCGAACAATTACAATTTGAAGAAACACATGAGGGTGCACACCGGCGAGAAGAATTTCGGTTGCGAGATGTGCGGGAAAGCGTTCTCGGACCGGAAATATCTCAACAAACACATGAACGTCCACTCGAGGGAGTAGGAGGGGTACAGCGTTAAGCTCAAAGTGTGATCGTTGGTGTTTTTTATTCAATCTTCTCCATTTTCTGTTTCGCTCTTTTTACACGCTCAGCAGACGACCGCAAAAGTAAGGAAATTTGTTCTATTTGATAAAAACACCTTGTCCCTGATCTTCCTCTCCACCTGAATTCTGGCGAACTCAGTTTAAAATTTCTTCAGGTCACCTAGTATCTGCCATTGTACAAATACATAATATTAGTTGCTATATTTATTCTGCCTCTTAGATCTTCTTCCTCTTTACAATAAAGTTAGTTGACAGCACCTTCTCCAATATTCCATTTCCATTAGAATCATTTTTTTTTTCATTTTTTTCTGTTGGTGTGCTGTAGATTTTATATTCTAATTTTGGGTGGTTTCTTTTATTTTATTCGGCTCTTGATTCCTTTTGTGCTAGAGCCATCATTAAAATGAGGTTTGTGTAAATGTTCCTTCTTTATAAAATTACCACTTAATTCTCCATGTGTCGTGAATCACAGGCTAGTACTGAATCGGCCGGAAGATATCTTAGTATTTTACTAAAATAGTCTGCAAAACATCCAAACACCGAATACCTCGTGGTATCGATAAAATTAAAAATAAAGCCTTATTGTGACCCATGTGTTTTAACACACAGGTTTTACAAAGAATTAAACATACTTAGATAACCAAAAGTAAAGAAATAATAAAATGATAGCAATGAAGACTATTTTCAAGATACCAGACTAGGAAGAACCAACAGATATTGTCAGTCTTTTTAAATAAAACGAGACTAATATTGAATAAATCCATGCTTTCAAACCAATTGTCATTATTCTATGCTTTTGGCTCTACAAAAAGGTTTAATAAACCTTTTCAAAATCTTTCTTCATTTCAATTTATCGGAAACAATTATTGCAATTTATCTGAGGTGTCCACCCTGTTTAATATTCTTCGCATTAAGAAAATGGCTCATTAAATTCTTATCTTTGGGTATTTGGGGATTTCATTTTTAAAATAATAAAAGGTGTGTTCTAATTACACGTTTGCTGTCATTATCAACGGATCAAAAATAATTTTATTGCACAATTAAGCGGAAATGGACAAAAGTTCCCATTTTATTATTCTTCAATTTTCTGAAGTAGCCTATAATGATTACAAGTCATCCTTCTAGTTCCGAAATTCTGAATTTTGATATCCCGTGAATCCCCGGGGATATATTGAACAATATAATTCAATTCCAGAACTTGTAGATGTGAAGAATGAGAACATAGACAAAAGTAAGTTGATTAAGAAAGTGTAAGTGTAAAACAAAAAAGGTTAAAGTTTTGTTTTGAGCATCGCGGATTTGTTCTTAATTAATCCAATTTTTTTTTATTTCGATTTTATATTTCTTCGTGAATTTTGTTTACTTAATATGTTTTTTAAACGAACAGAGCCCTACCCATATCGTTTGTCTATTAAAGCCTTATCATATTTCGCTTTTCTTCAATAGCATAGTACATATTCACTAACAGAGCTATCAAAATGTTATTTTTTCTACTCCCGCCTGTGAAATACCTAATTACGAACCGATCTAGCGTGCGGGAAGCGAGGCTTCACCGCGTCAGTTTCGTTTCCCACGAATCCGAGTCACTTCGGACATTTCCGGGATTTCACCGCACGGATTTGGGAGCAATCGGATGTTTTCGGAGATTTTACCGCACGGTTTGTATTTTGACGTTTCTCCCTTATTCCGCAATTAACGTGTAGGTGTGTTGACATATGCGTGTTGCTATGCAAAATACAAATATCGCCTATTTGCTAAAGTCTCATTACTCATTGAAAACAAGTAGTTTTTGAGGTTATTTAAATTGACCCACACATCAAATCAACTGAAAATAAATGAATTAACTAATTGCTCAGTGTGTGTCTACGCCAACTTCACTGTTGTTCCGATTGTTACTATTTTCAGTGTAGTAGTTTTCATTAGTGTTGATTAGTTCCGATTAAGCGCGCAACCACAAATTGCACAACTTGTCGTCCTTACGTTTTGCAGTAATTTTCATTGCAATGCGATTTTAATTTGGCATTTTATGACACGACTTGACACTTAGTGATACGAACATGGTGACAGGAAGACTTCGTTTTGTTCCGTGGTGTAAACTAGATTATTACGCTCACAAAAAACTTAAAACTTCATTAAACTCTCTTACTACGCACTTCGCGTAAGTTTGATGAAAAACAACTTATTTTTTAGAGCTCTTTTAACACACATTTTAAAAATAGCGATATGGTGATTTTTTTTTCAAAGAAACTTCCACAGACTACTGTAATACTATTTATAAATCTTCCGGATTCCTTCCCCCGAAACAGTTTCGGTTAAGCCCTGAAAAAGCCAAGAAAGACGAAACGCCATCAACAATGGGCGCAGAAGGAAGATTTGTAAATAGTAAATAGTTTAAACCAGTCTCTCAAATCGAGCGTTTCGAACATATTGTAACTATTTTTATTTTTAGTTTACCTACTTGTTTGATAATAAATTAATTGAAAACTCACTCTTCCGTTTGCGCCAATCGTTCAATGTATTGTTTTTTATTCGCGTTGATTATGTTTAAGTTCCGAATATGGAAGCAGTGCACTCTCATATTGTACCTGCGTTTCGCATTTTCATTGTATATTTATAATGAGCCTGTTTAGTCGATTTAATGAGCATATAGGAAATAAAAACGCGTACTCATTTCTTAACCCACAGGCAAACCGACAGACGAACCTGCGATATACATGACGCTTATTTTTAGGTACCGAACAATCAAGGACGAGTACGACGGCCAACCCGCAACGACGCGCAAACGGAAACGTTCCGCCGCCAGGCGTACGAAACGCCCCTCGCGGACGAGAAAAACCACCTCGATCAAATCGAACCAGAAGGCCAACAACTGGACGTGCAAGTATTGCCTGGACCAGTTCGCTTCTCGTAAAGAAATGTTCGAGCACCGCAAGGAACACGCGGACGAGGAGCGACCTCTGGGTTCCGGCGAGGTAATCAAATACACCTACGACGAACGGCACGACATGTACGTGTGCAACAACTGTTCGGCGGAATGCCAGAGCCTCGACGAGATCGAGAAACACGTCGAGACGCACGAAGAAAAGTACGAATGTTACGTGTGCAAGGAGGTGATGTACGGGCCGATGAACTATTCGACGCACGCGCAGAAGCACCGCGAGGACAAGATGTACCCTTGCCCGTGGTGCCAGTACATGGCTCACAAGAAGGAAGCGATGCACGTGCACATCAACCGCCTGCACCTGCAACTCTACGATTTCCAGTGCAACAAGTGCGGCAAATGTTTCAACGACGCGCTCAGCTTCAAGGAGCACGACAACGTCCACGCGGGCGTCAAGCCTTTCGGTTGCGTCGTGTGCAACAAGCACTTTTTCTACTCGAGGTACCTGCTCTCTCACCAGATGCGCGGCCACACGGTCAGGGTGTTCGACAGGGACTCCAAGACGCAATGTAACGTGTGCTCGAAGATATTCGCACGGGAGGACACGCTCGAGAAGCATTACGCGGCGAAGCACATGACCGTGAGGACCGGGCCGTACGAGAAGAAGCACCTGTGCGACGTGTGCGGTCAGGGATTCTCGAGGCCGGACAAACTGAAGATCCATTACAGGAAACACACCGGAGAGAAACCGTACTCGTGCATCTATTGCAGCAAGAGCTTCATCAAGCGGGATTACCTGGTGATGCACGAGCGGATACACAGCGGCGAGAAGCCGTACACTTGCGAGATATGCGGCAAGTGTTTTAACCAGGGCGCGCCTCTGAGGATACATCTGAGGACTCACACGGGCGAGAGGCCGTACGTGTGTCCTTACTGCGGCAGCGGCTGCGTGTCCAAGGGAGCGTTGAACAGTCACATCAAGAGTTGCGTCAATTCGGCCGCGCAGTGACATCCCTTTTGGGTTAAAAGGGAGAATGAATTTTTCTAACGGTTAACTCCGTGCCGCCACCTCTTCCGTGCTAGAACAATTCGCTTTGCTAATTTTTTTTGGCAGCACTAGCAAGTCAAGTTACGTGGTTTTTAATGACAAATCAAAGTATAGAAATTTCCAGACCACACATACAGTACAGTTTGGCAGTGAGTATCAAAATGGTTTTATTTGAAGCTTCATGGTACGACGGTTCGTATTTTACTCTTAACTCTTGTTTTTAATAAATTCCTGTAGTGGGGTTTCTTATATCAATCATCGACATAAGGGTTGTTTTTATATTAAACTAAAATAACTTTATTAATAATGAATACACTGATTTTAAATTAACACTCTCCCTCATGTTAGGTTAGGTTCTATTCGACACTGTCTCCTCTTCTGAGTCTGTTTTATTTTCGGTTAGTTAGTGGGACAATGCAGTAATTTTCATTGTAATTTGATTCGATAGAAGAGTCATCTATAATACACAAGGGACTTTTTTTGTAGAGCATTCAATTTTCCTATGATAAGATGTGATTATTTATATATAAGACAAAATAGAAAATGCAAAACTATAATAAGGATAATCTTCCCATGAATATTAAGAGTTCATACTTGGTAAGTACTTTGTAGACGTAACTAGCAACTAGTTTTGTGTGTGTCAGTTCAGAAAAAATAATCGTGTTTTTTGTACCCACTTTAACCGTCTATCTAAATTCAATTAAATCGGCTATTGTTAAGATATTTATGAAAAATACAATTTCACAATACTAGTTCCCACACATTATACCTGGAAACCAAAGAATGTCTGGAATTTTGTTTATTCGCCCTCTTTTTTTCCTTAAAATAACCGCCGAAAATTTGACTGCCACGTTGGATCTCGGATTTAGGCTACAATGCAACCTGAAAACGGAACATTCAAATCAATCAAGTTTCAGAGAATTATTCCTGGCTTTCCTAAAAAAAAATTTTAGAAAGGAACTTTAAAAAGTTGGTTACACGTATTTTTTTAACACAGATCGTCATTCAATGGAAAATTTTACTACTTTAGGAAATTTATTATTTACAGAATAATACTACTTTGTTTGTTAATCGTTTTTAGCTGACTGAAAGTGAACAAGATTGCCGTTGTTGCCAAAAAAAAGTTGGTATACAATTTTTTACTGTTTTGCTGTTTTTTACGTTTCTAAATTACAGCGTAATTGGATCCATGTTTTTTATAACAACGCGGAGCATTAAAAAATTATCAGAGAAGATTAGACTGTTTAACGCGCGCTTGTAACATTCACCACCGTACGGTAGCTCTCTAAAAAGTTATAAAATGCGAACTAACCACATCGGTATAACGCCCAGTGCAATGAAATGGAAACCCAAATTGGTTAGTGCAGTTTTTTATTTATTTAACAATGTAAGTTTTATATTGCCTATGTAAATAAAATATTTCGACTTTAAGACGACTTTTGTTTTTTTTTTTTTTAATACAGCATACCTGAAGTAGGGATAGTAATTACGAGATTACAATTTTGGTCTAAAAATTTCTCCATTGAATGAATTGAATTTTTTACACACATACGTATATATTCCTTTAAAAACACTTGAATCTGTTTTTTACAATTACAAGTAAATGTCAAAGTTACTTTTTGCAAGGTAAACTGTGAGAGTTTTGCTATTTGCAGCAGTGCACAAAATACTTGAAATTTCATAAATTACGAGTTTGATCTAACGGTCTGTGCATTTTGTAATTTCAATAAATTTATTAAAACATAAATATAAAATTTTTCTCAAAGAAGCTTCCCCAGGCTACTGTAATACTTTTTACAAAGCTTCTGGATTCCTCCTGCGTCGGTTTTTGCTGAAACTGTTTCAGTCAAGCTCTGAAGGAGCCAACAGGATGATTGGCGAAACGTCAGCAATTTCGACTCAGCAAAAACCGACGCACGAGGAATCTAGAATCTGAGTAACAAGTATAAAATATAAAATTTTAAAACTTTAGTCACGACGACAAGTTTATAAGCTTATTGCTTTTTCTAGTACTAGTACTAAAGTCCCCGAAACACTCGTCTCAAAGTGGCACTTCGCTTGGGCTTAGTACCACATTATTTGGTATTTTAGAGTCGGGAGTACAAAATAATATATAATTTTAGCAATGAGTTTGATTTCACGTAACTGTCTCTCGCCTACTCGAAAATACATACACAATGACAACAGGTGGTTCTATCCAAAACACTGCATACGTTTTCTTATCTTTGACTCGCGCTTTTTTTCGTCTCCCTCACTCTTCGAACTGCACGTGGTTGTTGTCATGACGACTTTATGCCAAACTGTCCGCGAAATAATTTTACTTTCGTCTGTCAAAGTTCGAATCGCTTTTCGGCAAGGTGAGTTTCGTGTGCAAATAACAACCAAACCTACCACCCAGCTACCTTACACAATTATACCCTGTCCCGATGTATTCCGGACCAAACTGACGCTCATCCGTTTTAGGTACATCAAGTGCCCGTATTTGGAGGTGGAGATGTCTGTGAGCGATGCCGAGTTCCTGCCCAATCCCGCGTCCGACTCGACCCCTAAGAAAAAGGTCAGAATCAAAGTCGAAGAGGACACCGACGACGAGGAATACCTACCGTCGGGCTACAAGAAAAAGAAGAAAACGGAATCGCCTAAAAAACCACGATCGCCTCGCTCCAAAAAGCCCACCTTCAAAGTTAAAAAGCAGGAGCACAAGCTGTGGACGTGCAGGCGTTGCCTGCAGGAGTTCGATACGCGAAAAGGGCTCGTAGCGCACTCAAAAATTCACGGCGACTCGGGTAACGAAGAGCACACCTTCAAGTACGACGAGGACCAAGACCTATACTACTGTAACACGTGCTCGGCCGAGTTCCAAACAAAAGAAGAGGTAGAAAAGCACATCATTAAAATCCACGAAGAGCATTACGCTTGCGAGATCTGCAACCACACCTCGAAGAAGGCATACCTGTTCGCGGTGCACATGAAGTCGCATTCGAACGACGACATGATGACGTGCCCTTTGTGCAGCTATAGTACCCAGAGGAGGACTTGTTTGCAGACCCACATCAACCGGGTGCATTACCACAAGTTTTACTACACCTGCGGTACCTGCGGGAAGGGTTTCAACGACGCCGTCATCTACAAGGAGCACAACAACGAGCACCTGGGCATCAGACCTTTCGTCTGCGTCGTCTGCAACAAGCAGTTCGTCTATTCGAGGTACATGTCGATTCATCAGATCAGGTACCACACGGTACATATAGAGGGCACGCTGCACAAAACCCAGTGCAGTATATGCCTAAAGGTGTTCAGCAAAGTCGACACCCTTCTCAAACATATCACGACCAAACACAAGTCGGGGGAGGAGAAGTACGAACGAAAGCACCTTTGCGACTTGTGCGGCAAGGGATTCGGTACCTCTGACAAACTGAAGATCCACTACAGGATCCACACCGGTGAGAAGCCGTTCTCTTGTCGGTACTGCGAGAAGTGCTTCACCAAAAAGGATTACCTGGTGATGCACGAGCGAGTGCACACCGGCGAGAAACCGTACCCGTGCGAGTACTGCGGCAAGTGCTTCAATCAGGCCGCTTCGTTGAGGATCCACGTCCGGGGACACACCGGGGAACGCCCGTATATATGTCAGTTCTGTAACGGGGGGTATATTTCGAGAGGGTCGTTGAATTTGCACATGAAGATTTGCAACGGGGTTAGGGATTAGTCGGGTGGTGGTGGTGTACCGTTAGCTAGTGAGATAACCGTGTATGATTTACGTACTGCCTATATATAATGGCAATTAATTTTTCGCGTTAACGTCAAAGGTTGCGAGCACATCTGAGAGTAGCGATTGGTTGGATTTTTTTTTCAAATCTCGTTTTTACTTTACTACCGACACGGAATAACAAAGTCCATATCTCCACGAACGCCGAGTACTGCATTTTTTTGCAAATTTCAACTGCATTTTCACCTCGTTTCTATATACCAAACAAATTTCAAGTTATCGAAATCTGAAATGTTAATAAGATACACAATTAGGACTTATGAAACTAATATTTAAAATATGTAACTTTTGTTTGCTTGCATTGCGCGTTCTCTCATGGTTCAGTTCAGCACCATTTTCTTCTGCCCACTGTATACATGTACCAAAGCAACGAATAGCTTCCTTATGTTTAATTTTTTGATAAACAGCTTCCTCGTCACCTTCTTCACTGCCAGTCTCACTGTACGGCACTAAGTGGTCATCATCGCCGTCGATCAACTCGTTGAGCTCCGTTTTTTGCAGAGGATTACTTAGCTTACGGTAGCATATTTCTAATTTCGGCCGATTCTCTTTGCTCATTACTGGATGGTTTCAGAACTTTGAATAAGTGGGGATCAAGTCTTCAGGCTTCCAACCAGAGTTTGACTAATCTAGGTCTGGATGAAAAAATATTTTCATTTCTTAAATTCATGTTTTTCAGAGTGCTAGAAATGTCAGTTTCTTCAAAAGACAAAACATGAATTAATAAGGTTTTGGTGATGATGAATTGATCTCGTGTTGCAAAAACCTCAAAAATAAATAACAGTAAGGTATTTCAGATAAATTTCAATTTTTCTTTAACAGAAACCGACTTGTTCACAAGTTGAGTTAATTATATGGTCCATGCAACTGGAGCGCCTTCTATATTTTTGTTATGTATTTCTTGTTGTTGTGAAAGTTTCGTGTTAAAAATTTACATTTTGTCATTGCGCACTTCAGATAGCGTAAAAGGGAACTCTCCATATTTTTCGATCAAATTTTGCAGATGAGTTTTTGCGGCTTTAGATTTCAAATAAATAATTGAGGTTATAGAGAAAGTTTGTAAATATATAAAAGTAGACACCAAGTATTCTAAAATATCTCATTTGTTGGCTATTTTGGCCAACAATCCATTTATCCAACAAGATCAAAATATTAAAAATCGTACGAATTTGTTTTTAATTCGTCCCATGGAAAATTGCAAAAAAATGCAGTGTGAAATTTACCGACCATTTAAAAGCACTCTCCACTATTGCAGCGTTAGCCGAAATATCTAGTTTTTTAGATAATCGTACCTCAAAACTGTCTACCATTTTGCGTACTTATCCGCACACGATGGAGTTTTGCGTGTCGATCAATTGCGTATCACGAATATCCAACATTTTCTTCCCGAAACGACAGGACTTTCTGCGTAACGCGATTTCGTTATAACTGCCTACCTTATTACGTTATCAATAGAACATTATAGTGTTTGAGAGATTTCAAATTTATTTGAACCGTAGCCGATTGTTGTCTTGAAGCACCTACGGGTCGTGTCGAACAATCGAATATTGAACCATATTCTAGTTATGTTATTAAATGCGGTACTACGAGTATCTAAGATGTCTTCTGATGTATTTTGAGTTGGTTGTATATTTTTTTCAATATATGATACGTTTCCAAATGTCTTGTTTCTTATGTAAAAAAATTGCAAAATGATTTTTTCGCCGTGGAGAGTATCTGCGTGTTCTGCGGCAGCACTCGCAGATTGCAGTGCCCACTATTAGGTTATATTAAAAAAAAATAATGCTCAATAACCATACATAGGCGCTAAATATACTGTTTAATAAGGAGTGACGAGGACAAAAGATCCATTCCAATGCAAGATGTAATATTTGTCAGTTTCATAATTGTAAAAGTGACACAATTTTGTTAAACAAGCAATACGAATTTGATTGTTTTCGCAAAGTAGTCATGTCAAATATCACTCGGACAACAACTTTTTGTGACTACGGAGGACTAAAAAGGAAAATAAACCACAATGTTGCTTAGAGGCAGTGGTTCTAAGCGGGTTCATTATCAGCAAAAATCTGCTAAACTCATTAGTTGATAGGTTGTGACAAATAATGTACGTCTGTCATAATATTAATTGCTATGCAATGTCATATCTATAACATCTAACATCTATAAGGTTGTTCGGAAAGTCATTTCGTTTTTTCCCGTCAGAGAACTTAATTACGTTTTTTCGAAACCAACTTCACACTTAAGCCGCATAACCATTATATGTCTTGAGAGCTGATATTGCGAGGCTTGTGTGTGAAAAAGTTCTATTAATTCTACGCAGTAGTTTTTGGTTGGTGCCCTTTTAAATATGGAGAGCAATAAGCAGCATTTTCGTCATATTTTACTTTTTTACTTCAGAAAAGGTAAAAATGCTGTCCAAGCTAGAAAAAAATTGACGGATGTGTATGGAGAAGGCGTGTTAACAGTACGCCAGTGCCAGAACTGGTTTGCAAAATTTCGATCCGGCAATTTTGATGTCGAAGATGCACCACGGTCTGGAAGGCCGGTCGAAGCTGACAAAGATGCGATAAAGGCATTAGTTGATGCAAATCGGCGAATAATCACACAAGAGATCGGTGAGAGATTAAATTTGTCGAATTCGACTGTTTATGGCCATTTGAAAGGCATGGGCTTAACCTCGAAGCTCGATGTGTGGGTGCCCCATGTCCTTACGGAGCGAAATTTGTGTCGTCGCGTTGACGTGTGTGATTCGCTCCTCAAACGTCAAGAAAATGATCCATTTTTGAAGCGGATTATTACTGGGGACGAAAAATGGGTTGTATACAACAATGTTAAACGCAAGAGGTCATGGAGCGGAAAAGATGAACCGGCTCAAAGCGTGTCAAAAGCCAACATTCACCAAAAAAAGGTGATGCTCTCCGTTTGGTGGGATGTCAAAGGAATCGTTTTTTTTTTAGCTTTTGCCGGACAATACAACGATTAATTCAGAAGTCTATTGTCATCAACTGGACAAATTGAATGATTCACTTAAAGAGAAGAGGCCCGAATTAATCAACAGGAAGGGTGTAGTGTTCCACCAGGATAATGCGAGACCTCACACAAGTTTGGTCACTCGCCAAAAACTTTTACAGCTTGAATGGGACGTACTGCAACATCCACCATATTCTCCAGATCTGGCGCCTTCCGACTACTATTTGTTCCGGCCCCTGCAAAATTTTTTGGATGGCAAAACCTTTACCTCAAATGAAGTTGTCAAAAACCACCTGAAACAGTTTTTTGCCAGCCAGGACCAAAACTTTTATGAGAGGGGAATTATGTTACTGCCAGAAAGATGGCAAAAGGTGTTGGACCAGAATGGCCAATATATAATTTAATAAAATATTTATTCATTTTACGAAAACTGTCTTTCATGTTCCCCAAAAAAAACGAAATGACTTTCCGAACAACCCAATATAAACATGATTCTCACATTTTCATTGTTTTAACTAACTAAACTAAACTAACAATACTATTGTTTAAACTTAAGGTGTACTTCACTGATCTGTTTTCTCAGGCTAACTCTCTAAACTGAAATTTCTCTAAATTTTCTCTGAAAATAAAACTTTTTACTTCACGTCAGAATAATTCTATTCTATTCTATAATTTTTGTATTATAAATAAACGAAACCTACCGAAAATAACAAAAACAAAAGAGGCAGACCAAAAATAAACTGCACACTCGCCTAAAAATTAACAGTATCAATCACATCAATCAAAAATAAAAGCAACGCGTTGAGTAAAACGTCGAGCTGAAATCTCTTTTCGAAAAATTGGGGCACGACCTTGAACTACTACGTAAAGGTAAGCATGATGACAACGTATCGATCTTTTTAGCCCTCCGTACTGGAGGCACTGTATACGACAATACGAATTGCTAAAACTCGCATTTTTCAGGACTTCCATCGCGCTGCCGGCGATCAAATGGCAATGCAAAACATGCCAGTTTAAGTTCCCGCTCCTGAAACCCCTCCTGGATCATATGAAAACGTGCATCGCCGCTGAAAAACACCCGGAGCCTCCGCCGACCCGGAAAAAGCAATTAAAAAAAACAAGCCACAAACGCGACCCCAAATCGGACAAGTGTTTCTGGTCTTGCGACGAATGTCCCCAGGTGTTCGCATCGTCGGAGCTGCTCGAGGAGCACAAAACTACCCACCAGCGACAACAATCCCTGCCACTCAATAAAAAGCATAAACCGCCATTTAGATACGACAAAAACCTAAACTTGTATTTGTGCCTCAAGTGTTTGATTTACGTGAACGATAAGTCGGAGCTCGCCGATCACCTGGACAACCACCCGGAGTTCGCTTGCCGACAGTGTCGGGAGAAGTTCCCCAGCGTGGCCGCTTTGGGGGTTCATTCGGCCGAGCACGACGCGAATAACCGCATTACCTGTCCCCTCTGTTCGTTCAGTTGCGACAGCAAAAACTCCTTGCTCGGCCATATTCATTTAACGCATTCCAACGGGCACGAGTGCGTCGTGTGCTTCAAAACGTTTCCGAGTTCCGGCAACTTGCTCAGCCACCAAGTGCACAAACACAAAGTCCAAACGAAAGAGAGCGTCCTGATGGGAGAGCACTTGACGCGTCCGTCGACCGGCGAAACCAAGATATACTTATGCGATACCTGCGGCAAAGAGTTCTCGTCGAAATATCGCCTGGAGCGTCACATTAGGGCCACGCACGAAGGCGTCAAGCCTTACGTGTGTCAGTTTTGCCGCAGGTCGTTTACCGGGAAAGATACGATGAAGAAACACGAGCGAATTCACACGGGCGAGAAGCCGTACTCCTGCGAGTACTGCGGGAAGAGGTTCCGACAGAACGGACCTTTCAAAGTACACCTGAGGATTCACACGGGCGAGAGGCCGTACGTTTGCCACTTCTGCAACAAGGGTTTCATCACGAACCAGTGCCTGAAGCAGCATCGTAACACATGTACACACAGTATATTTGTTTTCTAATTATGAATTGAATAGTCTCGAATGTACGCTGAGCTGTGGCGATCGCTCAAACTCTGTGAGGAGGCTTCTTCGCCCGTTCACCACTCTGTAATGCATTGTAAGTTTGAACGGATGCCACTTTGTGTCACTGACAATAGAAATTGTATGGCCGCTCATGCTCCACCAGACAAAAGTTCTATACTGTTCTATTTCGTGTTTACATTACTGATAGATTTCAGGTATAGTGTTTTACCTTTGTTTTCGGGGTTTGGGTCACCTCAGGATGACATTAACAAAACGGTTTAAGTTATGCCTATCTTGTATACAGGGTGTTCGTATTCGTTGACTGGTCAACCTCTTCTCTTGCAGCGGTTCTTGGTCCCCTTTTATTCATATTATCAGGTTTGATCCTCTTTCACCAAGGCTTCTGTGAGTGTTTCTATTGGGATAAGCCTCGATATAAAGCCGTCGTGCCTGATCTGCATTTCCGTTTGCTCTTCCGTAGCAATATCGCGATATTCAGTATTTGGATATGCCTGATAGGCCGTCACAGTAGCAGTTGGATTGTGACAATGACTTTTCGAAATTACGTTAAGTCCTATCAGCTAAAATCACATTTACAGGTAAAATTCGAGTCTAGAATAAAAAAGTCAAGTTGTGGCTAAACAAGAGTAACAATTTTTAAGGATTTGTGATCCTGCTTAAGGCAATCTGTTCTATTTTGCAATGTCAGTCTAAATAAATAAAATATTTAGGCAAAGTGCCCTCTACCGACAGATTTCTGAAACACTTTTATTTTGAAACGATGACTTTTACCAAATCAGCGCTGTGTGTAAAATACCCTTACTTACTACCAATATTTTACCGCGTTAAATCTTTCTTCAAAGTTTCTGAACTCAATTTCCGAACACCGTGTATACTTTGCATATATTTAATGTTATTGTTAATGTTATTTTATCGTGAACTAACCAACCCCAATAAACAATAAATTATCATTTAAGAATCCGTCCGTGATTCCTTTAAGTGTCCTCGGCAACTTTGATAAATGCAAGCTAAAGTCAACACGATATACTTTGAGACAAACTATACTGAACGGGCATAGGATAACAGATTTACCCGGTGAATCAGGTCGTAGTATACTTTGGATCAACAAATTGAATGCGTTGACGCTTCTTCTGTTAAATTTTGAAGCCCCCGTGCAGAGTAGGACCAACGCTACTGGTTGTGCTAGTGGAAATAGATTTTTCACTTTATCTAACGTATCGACAACTTGCAAATTGCGTCGGCAAGATTTGTTTATTTTTAATAAGTGTCTATTAAACTTTTGGAAAAAATCTGTCTTATGACAAGTGTAGACAAACCTAATTCGATACACGAACGTCAAATCATACAGGGTGTCCCGTAACTTAAGCGAATACATATTTTTTTTTACACACCGCAGGTATGTTCAATTCCTATTTAATGTAGGATAACTATTGTTTGTATATACTCTGGAAAATGAAACGGTTTGATTGATTGAAGTTTAACGATCAACATTTGCCAGCTGTATGGAGGATATGCTCTGGATGCACCAAAACTTTGAAATTCGTCGTCACCGTCCAGTTATGTTAAATAAGTTTAATAGACTTTTGACCCATGTTAAAAACACCAGGCACTTAACATAAACAAAATTCTAAAATTGATATCGACTTCAATAGTTCCGTTTGCATCACTGACTATTAGTCCAAATGTCATATCCTCCTCAGCTGGAAATGGACATGGCAAGATAAAGACCGGCCATCGGCCAAATTTACAGAAAATCTGTTAAGCTACAAAAGAACCACAGTATGTTTGTTGACAGGCCACTGCCAGCTCAAGAGGCATCTAAGCTTAATGAGAGTTGAAGAAAACACTACCAAGAAAAGTAGGAAAGAACAACGCACGTGGTATTGCCATTTGTAGGCCTATCGAGAGGGCATTCTCACCTGCTTCGTCTACTTACTATGGAGTCTAATCAGAGAAAAGAATCTACGTAATAGTTCCTTTGGATCCTTAAATCGAATATTGATGTGTTTTTACCATTTTTCACAATATTTCAATTTATATGTCTACTCATATATGGTTTATTCTGCCCTATAAACTCCCTCGCAGTCAGGCGACGCACTCTTTAGTCAACTTCTCTAGTATCAATCCGCAATCACTTGCAAGTGTACTGAGAGATTTAAATGCCGGGGTTAAGATTTGCGGCATCCCATTATCTGCCCATATACTTTGTATGCGGGACTCGTCATCCTTCACACCCATTCCGGGGAAATAGAATGTTGTTGCCACTCAAAAATAGTAACGAACAGCTCAGCCTACACTACACGAGGAATAAATCCAACACTAACACCGAAGTCATCTTCAGTTTGCTTTTAAATACACTCCGAGTGCTGTTTTGGGTTGTTTTTTTTCCTCTCCCTCACCCTATTGCGTGCAAGCACGTGTATTCCTTCCCGCCGCGGATCGAAACCGTCACGGCGACTAACGCCGATCCTTTTTAGGTCGTCCTTACCTGCCATCGAGTGGCAATGCGACGATTGCACCAATACGTTCCCCGACCTGGACCAACTGTGGCTCCACGTAGACAAGCACTGCAAGCCGCCGCACCGAAGACCCAACGGCAAACGCACTTCTCAGTACGACTTCGACTCTAACCTAAACCTGTACACCTGCCTGAGGTGTTCGACTTACTTCGGCGACGAATCTGAACTCAACGCTCACCTCGACAACCACCCGGAGTTCACTTGCTACGAATGCCACGATACGTTTGAGAGCGTAGCCGCTCTCGGAGTGCATTCCGCGCTGCACGATCCGAACAACCTCATCACGTGTCCCATCTGCTCTTACAAGTGCACCAAGAAGAACGTCCTTGTCACTCACGTCCACCTGAAACATCCAAAACGAGAGTACGCTTGCGTGGTCTGTTCCAAGTCGTTCCTGAGCCCGGTCAGTTTGTCCGGACACCAGATCAGACAGCACACAGTCGGACTGTCTCCGATGAACCTGCCTACGTGCGACGAGTTGAAGATTTTCCTGTGCGACACCTGCGGCAAAGAATTTACGACCAAGTACCGTCTCGAACGCCACATCAGTTCGATACACGAGGGTATCAGGCCGCACATGTGTCCCTTTTGCGATCGTTCGTTCGCCGGTAAGGATACGATGCAGCAACACGTCAGGATTCACACCGGCGAGAAGCCGTATTCATGCGAATTTTGCGGCAAGAGGTTCCGACAAGACGGACCGTTCAAAGTACACCTGAGAACCCATACCGGCGAGAGGCCGTACGTGTGCCACCTCTGCAACAAGGGTTTCATCACGAACCAGTGCCTGAAGCAGCACCGTAACAGTTGTGCGCGTGCGGCGCGCATAGCATAGCCTTCGGGTCTCTCAATTCGGTGCTTATGTGGTACCGCCTTTTATACCACTGCTGTGCGGTGAAAAAGAAAAGGAAGTTGTCGTAGGGAGGACGCAAAATCGTGAAAAGTGTTTTCTACGATACATAATTTTAGTTCGCATTTCTGATGGCTGGATGAAAACTTACTTCTGAAAACAATTCTTGAGGCTCACAAAAAAATGGAAAATTTTGCAATTTCATTTTCTTAAACTTATGGGTTTATAAAACGTCCGCCTAATTGCCCCCAACCCTTAAATGCCACGCATTCAATTTATACAACAATAGTTAATACTGCGGCTTCTTCCCCACGACGAACGTCACGTCGACGCCCGGCGAAACTTCGTTAAATGAAATGACAATCGGACATGTTACATATTTTTGTAGTTTGTATAGAAATAAAAAGTTTTCTCGTTTACTTCCTTTGGTCAGATCGGGTTTTTATACGTCGTTGCGTTTTGTTTTCACGCCAATTCCATCGCTTTCGACAATGGCAGTGGTGGTGCTAGTTTTCCAGCAATAACTTGGTAGGTACTCCCGATTAGCGTGAACCCCACCGTTGTTTTAATTAATTAAAAAGTAATGAGTGCGAAATAAAATAAAATTCAGACAATAAGATTTTCATTCCTCCGAGAACGGCAACCAATAAACTTGATTTAACCTTACCGAAATTTCAGGGCGGAGCCGAATCGAACCGTCCGGCAGAAAGATTCGAACCACAGATCGAAATTGAATGACTGGAACTGCTCCAAGTGCCGCGAAGTATTCCCCACCAAAACTCTACTTCGGAGACACAGGACGAGCTGCGATGGCGAATTCGCCCCTCCCAAGAGAAAAACCTCTTCCAAAAAAAACACGTGGTCTTGCAAAATCTGCCTGGAGGTGTTCTCTACCAAGAAACTGCTCCAGGTGCACAAGAAGACCCACGTCGCGGATACCTTCGACGAGGAGGTGCCGTCGTATCGTTACGACGTTCTCCAGGAACTGTACATTTGCGCGACTTGCTCGGCTGAGTTTCAAGACACGAAGGAAGCGGAGGACCACATCCAACTTCACGTCGAGAAGCTGACCTGCAAGTCTTGCGACGCCATCTTCACGTCGCCTTACGATTTGGGTATCCACTCTATCAAACACGACGACCAAGGCAAGGTCCAGTGTCCCTTGTGCTCTTACACCAGCTACAACACGTACAGTTTCAAAGCGCACGTCAACTACGTCCACCTGAAGAAGTTTCCGTTCTACTGCGCCACCTGCGGCAAGGGGTTTAAGCAGTACAAGGTGTACCAAGAGCACCAGAACACCCACGTGGGCGTCAAACCGTTCGTCTGCGTGGTTTGTTCGAAAGCGTTCTGCTTCCACAAGTACCTCATCGTGCACCAGGTGCGCAATCATCAGGTCGGTACTACCGGAGATCGCATCGAGAACGAATGCAGACGCTGCAATCGGTACTTTTTCAAAAAGGAAACCCTCGAACAGCACCAGGCGGAATGTCTACGCAAGAAGAAGGAAAAGAAAGAGAAGAGTCATCTGTGCGACACGTGCGGTCAGAGCTTCACCGAAAAGGCGAAGCTCGTGGAACACTTGAGGGTGCACGCCGGTGACAACCCGTTCGTGTGCTCGTGGTGCGGCAAGGGATTTCCGAAACGGGATTACCTCAAGTGCCACGAGAGAGTGCACACCGGGGAGAAGCCGTACTCCTGCGAGTTCTGCGGCAAGAGGTTCAGTCACCACTCGCCTTTCAGAGTACACAGGAGGACCCATACTGGCGAGAGACCCTACGTCTGCACGTTTTGTTCGAAGGGGTTCACCACGAATCAGGGGCTTAAACTCCATAAAAAGAATTGTCCTGAGAACCAGTTGAATAACATGATTAAATATGGACAGACCGAATGAGACCAATAAAATTGCTTTATCGTGACGATTTGAGTTTTTTTTATATTTTTTATCAGGTTAGAGCAGAGGACATTTCTTTTGCCGATGTAAAAAATGGATCTGCTTTAATATACGTTTCACAAACTCAACTGCTATGTGAGAGTAACAGTTTAAATATTTTGTTCAGCCCAGTCATATTTTTGTATAGTCTGTACCGAATAAAATTCTAATCAGGGCTTTTCATTTTCTATTGATAAGTTAAGCGGAGCGGTGTCAAACGATTCTCAAATTTTCTTGGACTCTAATCTGTCTACCGCGTAAAAGATTCTCAGCCAAAAATCTCTCAACGCCTTCCCCTTATCCCTGGCAAAGAAACAGTTCCCCTCCAGGCAGCTTATGTCTTCAAAATACCGATGAAGAGGTTGGAAAATATTATCAGGGCTAAATAAACATCGGAGTTCATTCAGACTTCAGCCCGTAACAGTATAAGGAGTTTCTGAACAATATCATGAAACAGTTTTATTTGACAACTAAAGGCATCTGTCAAATCTGCTCTTTAGCCCTTGAATATATATGCCTCTCAGTTTTACGTAGTGATCTGAAAAAGCCAACCAACGAAACGACAGCATACAAGTTCGCTTCTAATTATAGAGCAGAAGAACGGAAAATATGTTATACATAAAGTACAAAGCAATACATAACCCGATAAAAATAGAAAAAGAAATAACTTACTAAACAAGGCCGAAATAGTCAACACTTTAATGTCCGCGTGACACTTGCAGTATAATTCAGTGTCATTTTAGAACTAGGCAGGATTAGACAGGAAATAAGCAAGAGTTCTTTTGTTTTCTATTTGCAATTTTTTTCTATTTATCTACAACAATAACTAACCAAATGGACGCTGCCTAACGGCAAGACAGTTTTTTTAACTTATTCCGTTCACTTGATGCTTAAGGAAATACGATTTTATTCCTATAATCTGATTCAGGTAAGTGTTACTGCAACTGAATCAAGAATAAAAACATGATACTTAACTAAAGAAACAAGAAGAAAAAAGTCCTTAAGGTTACGGAGTTAAGGTAAGTTTTAGAAATATTCTGTTTTACTGTACCTAATCAAGTGTAGGCAAAGTGTCACTTTAAAACGTTAGTCACTTCGGCCGTTTCCAGTAATTTGGCCAAGGGCTTTTATTTATTTTAGTTATTTCTGTTTATATTGACATTTATATTTTTTTAAATTAAAATCCATTATTCCAAAATTTCGATTTTGGTGTATGATATGAACCGGTACAGTTGTATACACGATTATGCGGGAAAAGTTCCACCAAAAATCGAAAACGCCCTCGTCGAAACCCAAAACTAGAAGTCAAAGTAGAAATAGGTGCGGGTAGTACCGAGCCTTGGGATCCTACCGACTGCGCCACTTCTAAGATATCGCGACCGCATTCACCCACTAACGCGTCTCGTTTTAGGGAATCTGAGCGTGCGAAGCGTCTACGCCGGCGTATGAAACGCGGCAAAGAAAACTTCCGGCTGCCAAAGACCGAATCCCATCGTCAGCCGTCGAGCTGGCACCGTTGCGACGCGTGCGGCAAAAAGTTCAAGTCGGAGTCGAAACTCGCCGTGCACCAGTGCGGGATCAAGTGCACGGCGATCGAGAAAGCGTACGCTTGCAAAAAGTGCCCCATGACGTTTCCCATGCTCAAACTGTTAAAACAGCACCGGAAGGTCCACGCTCCGAACGAGTTCGTTGAAGTACACACGTTCCATTTCGACGATACGCAGGAAATTTACATCTGCAACACGTGCTCCGCCGAATTCAAAGAGTTGCCGGAAGTGGAGCAACACACCAAGTCGCACACGGAGACTTTCGAATGTTCGATTTGCTCAAGGAAGTTCCAGACGTTGCTGCAACTGGGCACTCACCTCAAGAGCCACGACGACGACGGCCAGATCTGTTGCCCGATGTGCGAGCAGAAGTTCGCCAAACCGTCCCTCCTGGTCAAGCATATCGATCAAAAACACCTGAAGAAGTACATGCACTCTTGCGCCACGTGCGGCAAAGGGTTTCACAGCGTCACGCTGTGGCGGCAACACATGAACGTCCACCTGGGACTCAAACCGTTCACTTGTATAGTCTGCGACGCGAAATTTACGTACTCCAAATCGGTGGTGACGCACCAACTCAAGATGCACCGTGTGGAGATCTTGGGCAGGGACCACGGCACCGAGTGTAGTTTCTGTCGCAACAGGTTCTTGTCGAAAACGTCGCTCGAGAGACACATCGAGCTGGTGCACACCGGGCCGCAAAAGCCCAAGGAGATGAAGTACCTCTGCGATACTTGCGGCAAGGCGTTCTCTTACAAAAACAAAATGGTGGTGCACATGAGGACGCATACGGGTTACAAGCCGTACGCGTGCAAGTTCTGCGGCAAAAGGTTCTCAAAGAGCGGCGAGAAGAACTGCCACCAGAGGATACACACCGGCGAGAGGCCGTACTCTTGCGAGTACTGCGGGAAAAGTTTCAGGCAGTCGGCGCCATTTAAGGTGCACCTCAGGACTCATACCGGCGAAAGGCCATACGTCTGTGACTTGTGCACGAAAGGCTTTACTACGAACCAAGGTCTCAAGCTGCACAAGAAAAATTGTGGCAATCTCTCTGAGTTTAAGTACGATTGAAGTATTATTTATTGTGTTTTTTTTTTAATGAAATATTTATTGATGCCCGACTAATAAATTTTATTATAGGATGGGTCCTTTGATTTCTACCCCTTGGACGCTCTAATAGCAATCATTTTTTGCCCTTGCGATTTTTTTTGCGTGCTACATTCAAATTTCACATAGTCTTTCCGGCCTGGGATTTTATTAATACAATTATTCCGTTTCCAAACAGATCTTTGGAGAAGCAGACGAGAGGGTTTATCAGAAAATAATTGTACTTAAATCGCAAGTATTCAAGAAAACTTGTTCAAAAATTTTGATGTCAATGTAGCCAAATCTTATCTTATATATTTGTAGACACTATCTCGATGTAACTAAATACCTTTTTATACCTATAAATAATATCACTTCAACAAAATATTCCTTCAAAACTCCTTTAATAGAATCTTCATTTTTAATTATTTATGCACCCACAGTGTTTACTTCAAATTTATTTACCTTAGGTTAGGTTTATCTCTTAATATATAAAAATTACGACTTCATCTTTGTGGAGGGCCCAGGTCTGGATCTTTTTTCGTCTAATTTCCTTATTTCTACTTTTGTGGAGATTTGCTAGACCACAATCCTTCGAGGATTTTTTAAAATAAATAACATAACCAAGACCAAGTTTTAGCTACTTTTTCATCAATTGCAAACTTAATTTTATAGCGTCAAACATTTTGGATAGATACAAAATTGCCATTATAAACACATGGCAATCGTAGGCACGCAAGTTGTGAAAGATAACCCTACTATTGGCGGTCATTAAGTCGTTGAAATATCATTTACGTTGCGTAATGGATTTTGTTTTTAGGCGCACGAGGAAGACGAGAAGAACGGCCGTTTCGAAACTTCAAATCCACCATGAGCTCAACATCAAAAAGGAAGATTCGGACAGCGATTCGGAGTACGTGATATTGGCTTCGAAGAGTCGCAGGAATCGCAAAAACGCCCAGAGACGTCAGTACGTTTCGCACAAGAGTTGGCCGTGCAAAAAGTGTTCGGAAGTGTTCGCGACGTTTCGTCAATTAAAAATTCACCGCAAGACGCACGTCAGGGTCGAAACGTTCGAGAAGCACACTTACGCGTTCGCGCAAGACTTGTACGTGTGCAACACGTGTTCGGCCGAGTTCCAAGAGAAAAATGAGGTCGAGGATCACATAAAAAACCACGAGAATCAGTTCCGGTGCGCGAACTGCCACGAGAGTTTCAAGACCGCGTATCAGTTGGGGTGTCACTCTTCGGCTCATAATGAGGACGGGAACGTAAACTGTCCGCTGTGTTCGTACAAGAGTGCGAAAAGAGGCGCTTTGCTCATACACATAAACTACGTCCACCTCAAAAAGTTCGCGTACTTTTGCGAGACGTGCGGTAAAGGTTTCAACGATCACTTGATCTATAAAGAACACAACAACGAGCACTTGGGTGTGAAGCCTTTCGTCTGCGTCGTGTGTGACAAAAGCTTCACCTACACCAGGTACCTGAACACGCACCAAGTGAGAACGCACAGAGTGCCAATCGACGGGCAACTTTTGCCCAATCAATGTCCGTACTGCAACAAGCATTACAGCAAGCCGGAGAGTCTAGAGAAACATCTGGACGAGACCCATTTCAAAACTGGACCACACGAAAAGAAGCACCTGTGCGATACGTGCGGCAAGGGTTTCGCCCAAAGGAGCAAGTTGATCATCCACGAGCGGGTGCATACCGGGTTCAAGCCGTACGGGTGTAGCTACTGCGAGAAGAGCTTCACCAAAAAGGACTATCTCGTGATGCACGAACGGGTGCACAGCGGTGAAAAGCCGTACTCGTGCGGGTACTGCGGCAAGTGTTTCAGTCAGGCCGCACCTTTGAGGATTCACCTGAGGATTCACACGGGCGAGAAGCCCTACGTATGCCACTTTTGTGGCAGCGGATTCACGTCCAGGGGCGCACTGAACATGCATTGTAATAATTGTACGGGTTATGCAGGAGTTGATTATTAAATGGGTTCCGGTTGGCGTGTGTCGATAGACGAAGACGAAGACGTATGGATGATATGAACAGAATTTAATTGCTAAAGTGTTTGGTTTCTGGTTTCGGTGACAATTAAATTATTAAACTCCCTAGTTGACAACGTCCGGGCTCGCTGAACATATGCAGGACTGGGTTCTTCGGGAAAACCTTAACACTTGATAGGAAATCACTTTTTAGGAATTATAAATTCATATAAAATATATTGATGCATTGGATAGGACCCAACGAAATACCACCAACTTCTCGACACATTAAAAAATATAATTTCTTACACTATTTGTTGTATGTTTGCATTGGGGTTTTAATTTAAATATTCAGTTGGTCGAAGTGGCGGAAGAAGAAAAGCATTTTAATAATATTTTGGCATTAAATTAGAAATTGTTGAAGTCAACATTTTTTTTCGAAAATATTTTTTTCTTTTGCCTCCCGCTTGTCTCTTTTTTCGAAAATATTGAGCTGTAAACCTTTAGTAATGTTTAAAAGCTGTACATACTAAATTTTATACAAATCAGAGTAATAGTAAAATCATAATAAAAATATATTTTTTTTGCATCTCGAAGCCGATAAATTTAGGAGTCGTGTTTATAAAGATTTTTTTCATTCAAAAACTGTTTCCTATCAAAGAAATCAAAAACCTGGTCAAACCTGTATTTTTACTGTCCAACTTTCGGATTAATACTCCAAGTAATGGTCTATGGTGTCCAATTCTCGATACTTTTGCTGGATACCTCCTTATATTTAAAAATAGAAAAAGTGTCGAGAAAGGGGCACTCTGTACACCTTAATAATATATAGATAATATTTGCCTGTCAAGCAAACGTACATATAAAGAGACAATAAGACTACGGGATAAGAAATAACGGTTATATTTTGATGAACTTTATTTATTGAAATATATTCCTAGGGCTTTTACGACCAAAATACCATCTTAGTCAATGATGTGAGTGAGTCTAAAAACTTTTCTGCTCGCTTGTCATCTCAGAGTAGTCATAATTTGTCAACTCACCTTTGTCTGAATTTTTCTACTATAAATAGAATGTATATGTATCATGGTCGGAGACATTTAGTTTTAAGATATTTTTATAACTGTTATGTAAATAGTATTCGAAATAAATATTCGTTTATGTTGCTAGAGGCTTTGTATCAGCAATTAGCGCCCTTCAAAAATTAAATTGCAATCGTACCCGCTACGGTTGTGAAAGACCTTGTGCCGTACTTCGATGCCTTATTTAATTTGATGTGCTCAAATTAAATGTACCGATAGCGATGTAAATAAACTTCCGATTGATTAGTTTCGTGATATTTAATTTTTAATTTTAAAATATCCTGTATAACAATTATGTACAAATACCCCAAGAATAAACGTATTTTCAAATTTTTAAAAGCTGTGTATTCCTATTGCTGATGAAAACATTTGAAAAAGTACGTGCAACTCTCGACCTCGTTTGTGCAAAAACCTTTCAGTTTTAATCGATGGCTTCGTAGTTAAAACAGAAATAATTTACTTGGTAATCATTTTAAGTCTGTGAACAACTCTCGCTTCTCAAAATGGCTGGGCATTCGAATGACCGACGTCGCGTCATCGACGCCAATAGCGGGACGCATCAAGTGCATGCCTATTTTTAGGTACGTCAAATTCGAGCCACTGAAGGAATTTGGTCCCCCCAAAAGCGCGTCGGTTCCCCGCCGTCTCAAAAAATCTATTTTTCGGTGTCCCGCTTGCTCAAAAGAATTTCCCAACGTCAGGCTGCTCAACTTTCATCGGAAAGTCCATCAGGAAACGACGCAACATTCGTTCAGCTTCAACGAGGACACGGCGAGGTACATCTGCCAGGTTTGCGACTCGAGTTTTGCCACCAAATCGAACGTGGAGAAACACCTTAATGTCCACGCGTACTCGTGTAAGTCCTGCGACCTCAAATTTCTACGACCCTACATCCTAGGCTGTCACATGGCTGAACATGATCCCGACCAAATGGTATGCTGTCCTCTCTGCTGTTACAAGTCCCCCCTGGCTTGCAACCTAAATTTTCACATCAATTCGGTCCACCTGAAGACTATCTCGTATAAGTGTCACGCGTGCAGCTCGTCATACACATCACCCAACAACCTCAGCGATCACGTCAACGTGGTGCACAACAAAACCGACCCGTACGAATGCGTGGTGTGCCAGAGAAAGTTTATTTTGGCCACCAGTATGCACAGACACCAAATCAATACGCACCGTCCTCTGGTGGAAGGCGACGTTCCATCCACCTACTGCATCGTCTGCAAGAGGATGTTCCAGACCGTGGCGTCGCTCCACAAACATATGAAGGTGCGTCATCACGACCGTAAGAAGGAAGGGAGACGGGAGAGGTTCGTGTGCGACATCTGCGGCAAGGACTTCGCTCACCGTCAGGCGTTGAGACTCCATCAGAAGGGACATAGCGGCGTGAAGCCTTATCAATGCCGGTTCTGTCCCAAAACGTTTAAGGCGATCGCGCTGAGAAATGTTCACGAGAAGACCCATTCGGTGGAGAGGCCTTTCGCTTGCGAATATTGCGGCACCTGTTTTAAAATCAAAGAGGGTTTGCGAAGGCATATCAAGACTCACAGTGACGTCAAACCGTTTAGGTGCGACGTGTGCAGTAAGGAATTTAGGCGCAGGGAACACTTGAAGTTGCACTCAAAGAACTGCCAGAATATCATCGCGAGGGAGGCGAGGCGACTGATTAAGAAGGACAAGAGTTGAGATGTTGGTGTAATTTTAATTTAATAAAAACTAAAAAGATGGTCTTTTTGTTGGGATATAGTTGATTAAGAGGGAGTAGCCGTAGTGACTCTTCGAGTTGTGGGCGGTGTGTTTTGCGCATAGTCGAAGGTAAGCTAAATTTATAAAAACCGAGGTCCAAAAAATGTTTTTGTTCAACTTGTTATGCGAACATTTATTCTTATAAAAAGAGCTTTAACTATTTCCGATTTTGTGCTTCATTGGGCGCACTGATTTTTTAAACGCTCCGTATAGTTAAAGTCTGGTGATGCCAAAAAACAATCTAAGGCGTTTTAGATTACAGATATATAAAGTAATAAGATCTCACAATCAGTTTTTCCAAATTTGAACATATTACACAAAAAATGGCAATTCAGTGCTCGCTCGTTATCGTCATAAATTCATTATTCAGATATACCATATTCGTTAAATAAAATTGCGATATGAATGTTTATTCAGACAAGTTGCTGCCGTAGAGTCTGTAATTGCTTTGGTTGGTTAGGAATCCGTATCTATCTTAATCTGTTTCTACAGTAATGATATGTCCTTTTAGTAAATAGAAGATCATTAACTATAATAATCTGAGTAGCGTCTTAATAATAAAATATTTATAAATAATAATAAAATCTAATTCACATTAGCGGGAGACCTACAAATAATGTCGCTGGCGTCTTTATTGTGGTATTTTATCCGCAACATCAAAATATAGGGCGAAATTACGAAGAGGAGAAAATGGAAACATCGGCAGTAGCCGGCACTTCGTTCACAAACATGACGGTACGTGGAATAAGTTCGGTACAGTAGGTTCGATGGTTTGACAAATTAATTATATTAATTGTATTAATTCGAATCATTCACCCATACACTTGAAATTTTCGCTTATGAAATATAGGTCTGGAAAATAAGCCGACGTCGCCGGCCGATCCCGATCACGTCCGAATCTAACCGACCTCTATTTTTAGGCACAAATCCAAAAAGTACGAACTCAAGGTCAAAGCGAACGACAAACTCTTACCCAAAGGGAAAACCGTCTACCATTGTGACGTGTGCGACCGCGACTTCAACCGTCGAATCAACTTCTTAAACCACGCCCACAAGCAGCGATTTCGGCGGAGGGAATCGGCACAGCAGCACGACACTAACAACGAACCTCAACGTCAGACTTACCAGTGCGATATGTGCAAAAAGGTCCTCGTTTCTAAAAACGGTCTGATCACCCACCACAAGCGCCACCTGAGAATGTATTCGCACAAGTGCGAGATCTGCGAAAAGCCGTTTTACGACTCTCACAGTCTGAGGTTGCACATCAATTCGCGACATACGGGTAAGGACAAGTTCGTGTGCGACTTGTGCGGTAGACCGTGTTATGATCACGTCGCATTGAGAAACCATAGGGACAAGCACGACCTCGACTACAAGAAACGGTCTAAGGTATGTTTACATTGCAACTACGAAGGACTAAAAAGGAGATAAAGGGAAATTTGTGTCCCTGCTTCAATCGTGTTTCAAATTTTCGATGTTAACTAACCAAACGCAAAATTTTTATTTATATTTAGTAGATATTTGCCGCCAATATTTAACAAGCAAGATGTTCAGGGGTATAAAATAGGTAAATTGTCAAGAAACTGGTCACGGTCAATCAAATACCTGTTTTTGTTTGAAAGGCTAACATGAACAGAATTTTCTGATTCATTTTGCCAACATTGCTGCTTGTCTTCTTGCTAGCCCTCCTTAGTTGTAACGATTTAAGTTTTACTGCAGTAAATCCAGTTTATATTGGTTCATACTATACAATTGGCATTTTGAATTTTATGATTCAAATTTTCCCAACAAGCTTAATTATTCAAATAAATCAAAAAATATATATTTTTTCTATTCATATTTATTGTTAGAGAGATATCTTTCCTCCACAATGGTGGACAACAACAAGAAACGACAGTACATACTAAGCATATCTTTCTTTCAAGTGTCAGCTTCGAAAATATACCTTTTTTTCAAAAAACGAATTACATTTTGTTAAGTGATATAAGGAAAAGGGTTGTACTAGATATATTTACAGATATACGTAAATCTTTGGTCGCTATAAACCGTTGAAAGCAGGGTACGGTTCTGCTTTGAGTTGAATTTTATTAAATTTTGCTAATTATTGTGAAAAAATGTCTTTTCACCCGTTGCCCATTTGTCACGCTCGCGTCACTCGTGTAACCCAATTGACAGATGCTTTACGTGCTTTTAAAGCCTGTATAGCACCAACCGTTAGCAGAATTCCTAAAAATTCAAGACAAAATAATGAATATACGACAACGTAGAATTGTTCGCGTGGAAGTAATAAAACCTCCTTCAAATGAGTGCCAAAAGGTTGAAATTTTTTTATGTATTATATAAAAATTAAAATATACAAAAATAAACAAGTAGTCAAGATCCCACATTTCTTAGTTAATGCCTTGCTGAATGTCGTTTCGCCCGTTCGTCGTGCTGAATTGTAATAGCTTGATAACGATGTTTTCAAAAACGTCCGAATTCATGACCACTTCCGAAGCTACGGTAATACCTGTTGACAAGCTTGGCGGGCACCGGTTATATTTATGTCTTCCAACAAGCTCCATTAAAATCTTAGCTTTAAAATAAAAAGTGTGAAAAAAGTGGCTTGCACTTTTATCAGTAGCGGACAGATAAAAAATAAATTTATTGTAAAAAGATTATCTACGCCTAAGTACTAACTGACCATAACCTCTCATTTTATTACTCCACACTTTTCCGACTTAACCTATAACGACATTTTTTTCACTATTTGCATCGAAAGTAAACCTGATTCCTTATACCAAAAAGAAGTTTGTTGTGGTATTAGTGATAAGCGTTGTGTTACATTCAATTTTATATGAGTTTAGTATTGTGATTATAGCTAAATGGTATTAATAAATATTATCATTATCGCAAGGTTAAGTGTGAGATCTGCGCGGTCGAATTCCTCGACGAGAAATACCTGAAGATCCACACGAAGAATAAGCACGGCGATGATTCGAAATTCGTGTGCGAGCTGTGCGGTAAAAAGCTGTACTCCAAGTTCAGCCTCAAGGACCACATGAACGTCCACGGCGGCCTCAAGCCGTACAAATGTCCGTACTGCGGAGTTGGGTTCGCCAACTCGACGACCCTCAGGCTGCACGAAAGGCGACACACGGGAGTGAGACCGTATAAGTGCACGTTGTGCCCCAAAGCGTTCACCCAGAACCACAGCTTGAAGGTTCACCTGAAGCTACACACCGGGGAGAAAACATTCTGTTGTACCGTGTGCGGAAAAAGTTTCGTCTCTGCCAGCGTGTTGAAGGCGCACATCAAGAATGCCCACAAGGCCGAGTGAAGGGCCAGGATTCGGTTCATTCATACAGGGCGCCATCAAATTTACGTCATATAATTTAATAATACTTAGTTTTCTCGGTAGAATAAGTATTACCGTACATATATATTTTTAACGTACAATTTTCGGTATAATTAAAATTTGGTATCATTACATAAATAAAAAAAAATGATATGTAGCATTTCTGATAATTGTTTTCTGAAGTTAGAACCTTATCGTTGTGGGATGTTTTCTAAAAAACTTTGAGCCAGAGGGGAGCACTTGGCATTGTTATTTTTAACCGAATGTTTGTGGCTCGAGGTCCTCTTGTGAAGGTATCGTTTTGACTGAACGTTCCTCATTACAGTCTTTGCATTATAATTTGTAGACCGCATCCGTTACCTAGTTTCAACTACTGGTCTAATTTTTGTGAAGCATTGATTGCTGACGTTACTGTACTTATGAACGACTCTAATGTTAGACGATAATTCAGACCGATGCGTTCTAATTAAAAAACGAATTAAATTATATGATGTAAATTGTCGAACACTCCGTATATACGAAACGTTCGTGACACAAAATTATCTGTCAATAATTTGCAAATAACTTCTTTTCGTTCCCACAGCACCTGTTTTTTTTTGTGGCATTATTTTACTTTTACCATTATTTCGTTTTGTAAGCGAAATTATTCGCAGTTTTCTAATTTGACAAGTAGTATTGTGCAAATTAAACTGGCAGTGTGATCATAAATAATAATAATATCAACAAAAAAAATATAAATAAATGAAATTTGCCACTCATAACTGATTATTCCTACACCTTTCGGTAATCTTGTTATGGAATGAGTCAACTAAACTTAGTTCATTGGACATCGGAGTTAACACGGGGAAAAACATTGTTACGACGAATGGCGGATTTCAGTTGGTTAGTTTTGGCAGTTTCGGTGGTAAGGTGGAAGCCTTAAACTGTATGCCCTAGATTGTTTGTATAATTATCATTATAATAATTGTCCATTATAAAGTTATGGACAATGCAATGTAATCCAGAGAAGAATCTTTAATATTTTTCGCAGACAGAGATGGTCCATTTGGAATCCAACCATCTTTAGAGGCATCATGCAAAATAGTTATTCTTTTACCTCTTTTTGATATCAGTTGAGTCAACCCAACCCTTTTCCGAGGTATCATAAATGTCGAACCAGGTTTCCTCCAAGTAAATAATTGGCCTTTGTTGTTCTCTGTAAATCATAATTTTTTCTAGATATCCCAGTCGCCATTTCCGAATTCTAAAAGATTCCATTAAAACTTGCCTTTCGTCAATTTTTTTAAATGTAAAACCCGTGTGTTGAATACACTTCTAACTAACCAAAGAATATTAAACACAGGTAGGTATAAAATTGTTTTCTATTACGGGCCACAATTTTACCTGAATTTAAATTCCGAGACTAATAATAATAGTAATAATCTTGTTGCATTGCATGCTAATGACCACCCTTGGATAATCCCATTCAATTTGTTCAATCACCTACTTTCCCTAAAGCTATATGCATTAAATGGTAAATTAAATAAAATGGTTCAATTAAAAATGGCGGTGTTTCGGTAGGCCCTTTTTTAACTTTACGACCTGGCTTCCTAAAGTACCTTTGTGACACCAGATTTGACTAGGTTAATATTCGAACACGTGGCCAACCGATACTGCGCAGTAGGCTTCGGCCCGTCGTACGTCAAAATATAATTTGACGGGGGCGCAATGTTTTCGGCGGTGTTGAGGACGGCTTTGGGGACACGGCTTCGGGGATCTCTGCAAGCTTTCCGTATTCCGGCAGCCCGAATCTCTGAGTACGATCGTATGATAATCGGCAACCGGGAGGTCGTGGGTTTCGGTTCCAACGGGCAGCCGAGGTACATGGACAACTCGACGTTCCCTTTTCCGGCCGTCAGATGGAAAGAACCCACCGCGGAGATCCGCGCTTTACGCGAGAAAGAGAAAGGCGACTGGAAGAACCTCACTAAAGACGAAAAGAAACAGCTCTACCGGTAAGTGCTCGAAACGTATACGATGTGGACAAGCATATATTGCACACATTATGGACTGGCTTTAGAGGGACATCCATAAGCAAAGGGAAGCAGGCACCAAAATTAAATAATCAACCAGAAAAAATAGTAAATGACATATTTAGAAAACGCATAAACCTATTTATATTAATTAATTACTCGAAAACATTTTAGCAGACTTTGCAAAACTTTTTGGGTTAATCAAAATAAAATTATGCATTCCAGTGGCGTCCGAGATTGATATTTAAAGGAAAAATCAGGGTGCGCCACTACTTTTTTCGTGTCTAGCTTCGTGTTTCTAAAAGATAGCAATAAACAACAACAAAAAATCCTAAAGCGGTAAGGATGGTGGCCGAAAAAGGAAGTAGTGCTAAAAGTATTCCCTTTTTTGAGCGTTTATTTTTTATTACCACGGGCCCCGCCCAAAAGCCGTATTCCATATTTTTTTAAACCGAGTTACATACATAAAACTTTCTCTCATGCTGAAAGACACTTAATTTATGCAAAAAACAACTCAGTGTCTGACTGTGTTTCAGGGCTTCGTTTCGTCAAACGTTCACGGAAATGCACGCGCCGACAGGGGAGTGGAAAACCTCTTGGGCCATAGCCCTAGTGCTGATATCGGTATCGCTTTGGCTATCTTATTTTCTGAGAACCGTAGTGTCCCGTCAAGTGGGGATGCCAGAGAGCTTTAGCAAGGAAAGCCGCGAGCTACAGTTCAGGAGGATGCTCGACCTGCAAGTGAACCCAATCACGGGCCTGTCGTCGAAGTGGGACTACGAGCGGGACACCTGGAAGTCAAGCAAATGAAGTTTCTTTTTTCCCTTATGCTTGAAATAATTTGTTTTGAATGATTGAATAAATAGATCTATTTATTATTTATCTATTTTTATAAAAACAATAATAGAATAAAATATTTATTGCATAAACAAAATTAGAGTAAATCAAAAAACAAAATATTTACATGACAGGACCATTGCAAAAGCGTCATTTTACCACGTGACTTTCTTGTCCCAGGGTAGAAAAAGTTCCTTTCTGTGCTGCTATACCGTAAGTAAACCATAATCACTCACTGTAAATGAAACTTTGGTAAATGTGTATCAAGTAAATTTATTTTAAATGATAGTAAAATTTTTTAAAATATTTGAATATTGAAGGTCAATCAGATTTCTGCAAATTCATTTTGCACGAAAATGTTCGGAGCAATGTTTCTGGAATAAGAGGCTGTCATTTGTCCCTCGACCTTGACCACCATTCATTAAATTATAAGTCATTTCAATAACACCAAGACAAGACAAGAAGGAATTAAAATTCATAACATCAAAAGCCTGAAGAAGAGACTATTTGATTTTTTTTTCTGCAATTTTTGCATATTATTGGCAGCATCACTTTAGGCTCATCGGTTTGTTTTTTGTCATCGTGCATGAAATATCTCCAGTCGCGTTTTTCCTTTTTAGCGTAACACCCAACAAATGGTGCCGATACGTTAAGCTTGTCCGCACCTTTAGAACTGTCGCTTGACAAGCAAATTATTTTTTAGGGCCGCGATTAGAAGCCAACCGACCCGACCCCGTAGCAAATGGAAGTGTAAAAAGTGTCTCCTCCATTTCGACAGTCCAAACGATGCGAAAGCGCACTGCAGCGGTGACCTACCGATCGAATTCCAGGAGGATATCACGTACGCGTACGACGAAACGTCGGAAGCCTACGTATGCCACATGTGTTCGGCCGAATTTCAAGCGGAGGACGAGATCCGACGCCACCTGGCTCGCCACGAACCTAAACACGTATGCCGCGTGTGTTCTGTGCCGTTTAAAACTCTGAGGGAACTGTGCTGCCATCAAACGGCGCACCGGCAAAACGGTAAACTAAACTGTCCCATCTGTCAATACCGCACGTCCTACCGTTCGAATTTGCTTACTCACCTGTACGCCGTCCACTTGTCAGTGTACCTATGCAAAGTTTGCGGCAAATCGTGCTCGAACGAGAGGAAACTCAAAGAACACGGACTAGTGCACTCGACGGAGAGACCTTTCGTTTGCGTCGTGTGTTCGAAAACTTTCCCTCATCACAGATCATTGATCAGTCACCAGGTTAGGTTTCACGTGGTGTCGTACGCTGCAGTGGGGCGTCAGTACGATTGCGATGTGTGCAAAACGGCATACAAGACTCCGGGAGTACTCCAGTTGCACGTGGAGAGGGCACACAGAAAACAGGCGAAGGCGACTAATCGGGCGTCGAAGAAATGCCTATGCGACATGTGCGGTCAGAGCTTCAGCACTATGGTACACCTCAACAAGCACCTCGTCTCCCATACGGATTACAGGCCCTTCGTGTGCTCCGAGTGCGGCAGGGCGTTCAAGCACAATTACGCCCTCACTTACCATCAGAGGATACACACAGGCGAGAGACCGTTCAGGTGCGGGTACTGCGACAAGAATTTTCGTCAGAACACGCCCTTTAGGGTCCATCTGAGGACGCACACCGGCGAAAAGCCATACGTCTGCAGATTGTGCCGCAAGGGCTTCACTACGAACCATGGATTGAAAGTGCACATTAAAAACTGCTCTGTCGTTATTGGTTAGTTTGTTTATTTGCAATAAAAAATGTTGACGGGATGGCCCCGGAATTCGCCTTGACTGAATTCTAAATTACATTTTTTCTATGACAGTAAATCTAAATTAATAACTATTGCTATTATTGTTACGTGTTTAATATAACTCCTCAGTATTTTTGTGTACAGCTACTCTAATTTATATAAAATAATATATAATTTTAATATTTGTATTAGTTTTTTACTTGCAGTGTTTTTTTATGGTTGAGGTGACAGATTTAACATCCCAAAATAAAGCCAAATGCATAAAAAAATAATATTTCTAAAAATATCAACGTTTATTTAGTTTAATTAAGTTGTTTGTCAAATTTGAAGCAACCCAAATCGAATAGCGGTGGAAACGTGGTATGTAACCGCGAAATTAAAAAATAATTCGTATATAACCCAGTTGACAGACTAATAATACAAAAGGACATTGCAAGGCGCAATAATACAAGTAAATATACGTACGTTATTCAGACATGAAAAACCTATTTATTTAATAACTCAGCAGTAATGGGAAGACGTAATTAAAGATCAAACCGTCCCAAGAAACACTAAATTTTTTGGGCGCACATAATTTTTTTGTTACTTTTTAATTGGGTTTATCTCAATTAGATTATACACCCATTTTCCGGCATCCGCCGAGGAAAATCAACCCAATACAATTTTTCACGCAAACAACACCCCAGGCTTCCGGTGGGAATCGAACTCACAACCTCCGGCAAGCTCTAATTGGCAGGTCAACGCCTTACCAACCGAGCCAATTCTCGGTCTCTCGTACATAACTGCACAAACCGATCGACGACAAATAAACGTGTGTACAGATTCTGCTTCTCAACTGCAACGGAAGACGTGCGGGCAATAGCCGACCAGTTTTCCTCCATTGACGCAATTGAGGTAAAATTGTAAGACACCATATAAGTAAATAAACATTAAATTGGCCATAGCGATAACTTTAATTTATTTTTGAATTTAACTTTTTTTACTTTGCCCACGTCTAGTATCAAATAATGAAAGAAAACGGAACCAGAACGGTCACTTTTTACCTTTCCGTTTGTTGTCAATCTTTGTTTTTCGACGACCGAACCTGTCACTTTTTGTTTCATTTTTTTTAATTTTTCGTGAAAAATCGAATGTACGAACGTATCGAAGCAGCTGAAAACTTAGGAAAATCCTTTGAAATCGTTGTATGATGACAAGCGGCCACCGCCAAAAAAACAGGACCAATGCGGGACTGGAGGTACGTCCCTGAATTAGCGTTGCGCGAGGTATATAAAAGTTTAGGCAGAAGGGATAGGCTGTCATGTACGTTGGTATGTCCGCAATGGAGGAACGCGATGGACTACGTCGGTTTATGGCGTAAAATGACTGTACACATCGACTCTGACTTCACAGGTTTGTCCGTCTATGCCTACGATATAATTTCGTAGTTTCGTCGGACTTGTTTTTAGAGCCCAGCACTATTTTCCTTACGAGATACTACCACAAGTATTTACAGTCGTTAGACTTAAGTTGGGCGACACCCGCTTTGAGCCAAAGTAAATGGTCGCATTTGAGATATGACGACCTAACGAAAAAAGTCGGTCGGTATTTGATAATACTCTACGACAGTTACGTCCAGCTAAGTCATTTAAAAATTTCCGATTGGTACAATATATTTCACATGCGAAAACTTAGCTACTTTCTGATTCGATTCATAAAGTAAGTAATTTGCCGGTTACTATTCTTTGCGACGAATGCGCCTCTTCCTCCTTTTATTCTGCGGCCCTGTGTCCATCGTCTGGAGAACGTTCTATTTCTAGGTACCAACATAATCTTAGAACGCTTCACCTCAGCAACGCCAACTTTTACGCGATCGATTTCTCAAAAATTTTGGCATCTTGTATGAACTCTTCAACCTGCTTGGTCGAATTGAACGTGCGCTATTCATCGGCTTACGCGAAAAAAAGATTTGACGGATGGATATTCGCGAGTTGTTTGGAAACATTCGTCAGTTTGCGAGAGTTGACTGTTGATTACTGGATTTTTTGCGACTTCGCGGTCAAGGTACAAACGGAAAATCATAATTTTGTCAAAGCGAAAATAATCCTCAACGAAAACGAGGGTGCGTCGGAAAATTTACCGGAAATTACAAGCGAAAATTGGAGCAATATGCGAAAAATCTTTCCAAATTTGACCGTTCACTTATTAATCGATCGAGCATTGAAATTCGATGAAATCGATCTCATATTGAAACCTCAGATGCCATTAACGCATTTCTCGTCGCGTTTGTTCTTCGAAGACGTTCAGGATGATAGTTACGAATACAAACAAGCGCTGAAATTATTAGCAGATCGGTTTAAAAAGACCATAGGTATTCAACATCATAGGTGTGCGTCGTGAAAAGTACAAATGCGGAATTATTTTTTAGAATCTGTCAAGCTGGAAATAGATCTGGACTCGAAACGTTTAACAAGAGAAATTCATTATATACTCTTCAGATGTAAGAAACTGAAATCCCTCCGCTACAATTGCGAAGAATTAATGACTGGACGCATTCTTTTACTGCGATAATTAGGTGATTTTGGGGTGTAAGCTAATAGAAAATTAAATGAATTATTGATGAAAGATGCACTTTCATTTGTCGTCACAGATCTCTAAAATATGTTTCGAGGTCTGGGATAAAAGGCCAGATACAGAAAAGAAGAACACTGTTTTTGTTTTGACGTTTCCAATGTAAATACACTAACCTATGAAACTGTCATTTGTCGCATGTTAAAAGAATTGATTTCCGTTTCGCATAATTCGTTTCCGTACATGCCGGCTACATGAAATATAACGGCTAAGCGAAGCTTACGATGTCGTCAACGCAGAGGGCTTTCACACAAAAGCTATCTAAGCAACATGCAGCGGACCTACGCAAAACCGTATCCTGCCACAAAAGCGACCTAATGTCTTCCTGTTCGACGACATGGTCAAACGAAATAGCGGACCCATTGGACTTCGAAGAGTTCCTGAGCAATTATCAGTTGATTCTCGACAGGGACCCGTTAAAATCCATATTAGATGTCCCGCTAGGCGACGTTCATGTCGAATTGATCGAGAGGCCGATACGAACACTGCAACCTATAGTGCCCGAAGAAAAAATTAGCTCTTTATTACCGCACGTGCAAAGTTGCGTGCGATGTTACAAGAATGGCTGGAAAGTAGTACGCTACTCGTTCAGGCATTTGAGCAGCAGCACGATAACAAAACTTACCGTTCCCAAAAGCTTTCAGCCTTCCCCAAACCAAGAGTTCGAGGTTGATTTCCACGTGTCGCCGGAATCAAACAGCGAACTCGGTAATTTTTTTGCTGTTGTATGGGAAAAATTCACTTTGGCATTTTAGTGTCAAAGAAAGATAGTCTTAAATACTCGGGGCGGTATATGAGAAAGCTAAGTTAGATGTATGTTAATAGCGGTTTCTGGCTGCGAAGTTGACCCGCTTAAGCATCTCTTCCCTCAATTTGAACATGCTTATTTAATTAATTTTTTTATTAAATTGCGAAGCTTGATGTAACAAACTGAACCACACAAATGAGAAACTATATAAAAGATAAGGTCAATGGCAGAAGAGGCGAAAATACCAACCGAAATTATTTTTTTGTCCATATTATACTCTATCGGTTTTTATTGAAATAACTATTTTTGCAAGAAAAAAACTAATATAAATTGTGATACGTGAGGACGCACGTTTTCATTCTAAACTAATATGAAAAATATGCGAACCGACCATATCTTTTCTTATTGATGATCTTTTTTTCTGGGAACTACAGACCTTTAGTTGTTTGTTTCCAGTTTTATTACCGAGTATTGTTGGTTTGTTTGGCAACCTTATCGACCTTTGCCGTTGTACTAGAACCAACAATACCTACTTTTCATTTATCGTTTTGTTTGAGGTGCCGTGCGGGAAATTTAACTTGATTGATGATTTGCGTATTTAAAAACGATTTTTGGTGGACAGCACTAACTTATCTTTGTTCTACTTTTTTTTTTCTGGACGCCTGGAATATAAATTAGAAACATTCGAAAAATATTTATACCATTAAAAGTAAACATAGTTATTAATGTGACATTTTCAGACACGTGTTCCCAAACGAGTAGCCGCCATAGCCTCATATCGACCGGGTCCCTATCGTCTTGCGGGGACACCCTCACGCCCCGCAATTCGTGGGCATCACTCGACCTGCGCCACTCAGCCGGCGATCCCCTTATACCAGAAATCCTTGAGCATTCTGTATCCGACTCGCAGGACCAAGTAAACGAGTCGAAACGGCAAAACGACCGGCAGGACACACTATTCGCTCTGACGTTACCGCCGGGCGACCTTCAGAATGCGCTCACCGACCCTACCGAGAAACGTCTACCGGCTACTCCACCCGTTGAACACTGCGGCCACCGGGTATTAATCAAATGTCTCCAGCTGACGATGGACATCGAAATCGAGCCTCTCTTCGCCTCCATGGCCCTCTACGATTGCAAGGAGAAGAAAAAAGTGTCGGAGACGTTCTACTTCGACCTGAACCCCGAAGGTCTAAAGCGCATGCTCGGTGGTCACGTGCCCTACTCCGACGTCAGCACGTTGGCCAGGAGCTGCGTGTTTAACGTGACGAATCCTTCGGCGGATCTTTTCGTCGTCGTGCGCTTGGAGAAGGTGCTCCAGGGCGACGTGAACGAATGCGTCGAACCTTACCTGAAGGACGACAAGAACCGCGACAAACTAAAGTCGCTCGCAATGTCGTACTGCGAGAGACTGGGCAAATATCGTCAGTCTCTCGCCTGGACCGCGATCAACCTGCTGAGCGTGGTCAACGGTGGTAATTCGCTCGAACGCGACCTCGAAAGGGACTTCGCCACTAGCGGGGGCTCCAGCACCAATAGTCTAGATCGGAAATCGTCTAGCGGCGGATTGGAGCAGCTGCGCCGTAAGGCGGCGGACGTGGGTAACCTGACCCGCAGAGGATCGCTCGAACGGAAGGATAAGTGCAGGTCTTGGTCGCCCGACGACCTAGCAGCGAACCTCGACTCGTTCCGACCGATCACGCTGACGATGTCGTCGTTTTTCAAGCAGGAGAGCGACAAACTTCGCGACGACGACCTCTACAAGTGCCTACAGGAGCTCAAGCGACCAACCTTGGTGCTGAAAAAGCTCAAGTGTATACCCGCGGTGTTCAAGCTCGAAATCTCGCCGTGTCCTGCGGAGTATCGGAACTGTCTAACTCCGGAACTCGTCAAACTGCACCCCTACGCGGATGACAAGGGCAGGCCTACCAAAGAGCTTCTGGAGTTCCCTATCAGAGACGTCCTCGTGCCACACTACACCTACCGTAACCTGCTCTACGTCTCGCCCAAAGAGTTGAATTTCTCGAACAGGACGGGGTCGGCGCGAAACCTGACGGTACGTGTGCAGCTGATGGCCGGCGAGGGCGAGAACCACGCCCTCAATGCTATATATGGGAAGTCGTCCTGTCCCGAGATGACCAATGAAATGTTCTCCGCCATTACGTATCACTGCAAGACGCCCGCGTTCTACGATGAGGTTAAGATCAAGGTAGATACAGATACATTGATGATTCCTTTGGGTTTATCTTAACCCCATAAGACATACGTTCGCCAAAATTATCGATCGCACGTGGTCACTCGTGACGTAAGCCAAGTCCCCTAACGGTTTTTGTTTTTGTTGCGTAAAGCGTTGTATTTTGTGTTCTTTGAACAATTAAAATAATTTAAACCAGTGAGTAGTGCGCTTATGTTTGTGTTAATTGTATTTCTGTAAAAAAATCTTGGACAAAACAATATTTTTAAGCTTTAACAAATACTTTAAAATTGTATGTGCTTGAGAGGCGAGAACTGAGAAAAAGAAAGACTTAAAAGTGTTCGTGCTGCTTATTAGCGGTGTTATTAGTTAGGAGGTAAGCTCAAAATATTACACATAATAATATAGGTAAAGGTAAGAAATACATTTCTTTTACTTTTTTCAGTGGGATAAGATACATCAAAAAATAGTTAGGTACGCCTGGAACGATATGTGCCATGTATGGGTGCAATAACATTTATTTTGATGAAAAAGCAAGTTCTCGAAAACGTAGTTTTCATCACTTTTCCAAAGGTGAGAGATCTGGTATCCCGAACTATTCGGAACGAGTGGATAGTTCGATATAGAAAATGATGACGAGACTTACAAAATGAGTTATTAGTTTTTTTTTGTCTTGAGTAACACATTAAATTCACCACAGAATTTAAATTTTGGGTTTACCTTTAAAAAAGATTCTATTGGGTTGTTCGGAAAGTCATTTCGTTTTTTTTGGGGAACATGAAAGACAGTTTTCGTTTAATGAATAAATATTTTATTAAATTATATATTGGCCATTCTGGTCCAACACCTTTTGCCATCTTTCTGGCAGTAACGTAATTCCCCTCTCATAAAAGTTTTGGTTCTTGCTGGCAAAAAACTGGTTCAGGTGGTTTTTGACATCTTCATTTGAGGTAAAGGTTTTGCCATCCAAAAAATTTTGCAGGGACCGGAACAAATAGTAGTCGGAAGGCGCCAGATCTGGAGAATATGGTGGATGTTGCAGTACGTCCCATTCAAGCTGTAAAAGTTTTTGGCGAGTGACCAAACTTGTGTGAGGTCTCGCATTATCCTGGTGGAACACTACGCCCTTCCTGTTGATTAATTCGGGCCTCTTCTCTTTAAGTGAATCATTCAATTTGTCCAGTTCAATGACAATAGACTTCTGAATTAATCGTTGTATTGTCCGGCAAAAGCTCAAAAAAAACGATTCCTTTGACATCCCACCAAACGGAGAGCATCACCTTTTTTTGTTGAATGTTGGCTTTTGACACGCTTTGAGCCGGTTCATCTTTTCCGCTCCATGACCTCTTGCGTTTAACATTGTTGTATACAACCCATTTTTCGTCCCCAGTAATAATCCGCTTCAAAAATGGATCATTTTCTTGACGTTTGAGGAGCGAATCACACACGTCAACGCGACGATACAAATTTCGCTCCGTAAGGACATGGGGCACCCACACATTGAGCTTCGAGGTTAAGCCCATGCCTTTCAAATGGCCATAAACAGTCGAATTCGACAAATTTAATCTCTCACGGATCTCTCGTGTGGTTATTCGCCGATTTGCATCAACTAATGCCTTTATCGCATCTTTGTCAGCTTCGACCGGCCTTCCAGACCGTGGTGCATCTTCGACATCAAAATTACCGGATCGAAATTTTGCAAACCAGTTCTGGCACTGGCGTACTGTTAACACGCCTTCTCCATACACATCCGTCAATTTTTTTCTCGCTTGGACAGCATTTTTACCTTTTCTGAAGTAAAAAAGTAAAATATGACGAAAATGCTGCTTATTGCTCTCCATATTTAAAAGGGTACCAACTAAAAACTACTGCGTAGAATTAATAGAACTTTTTCACACACAAGCCTTGCAATATCAGCTCTCCAGACATATAATGGTTATGCGGCTTAAGTGTGAAGTTGGTTTCGAAAAAACGTAATTAAGTCCTCTGACGGGAAAAAACGAAATGACTTTCCGAACAACTTTATAAAAAAAAAACTGCTGTTCCCACCCTATTATGATTTAACCAGAAGCCACCAACAGAAGCAGGATTATCTAGATCAAAAAGACTTCACTCCAAAAATGCCAAAAAAGAAGCTCAGCAGGTATTGTCTGAGATTTTAGCAACAACATTGAATGCCACAAGTGAAATTCTAGAGAAGAATCCATCTCCAGAACCCATCTCCTCTCTTATGTACATACGAGGGCACATATAAATACATATTATTTACCTACCACCTATATATAGTTGTTATGCATGGTTAATGTATTTTTTGTTTTTTAATATGTTCCTTAATATATCCAAAAATGGGGATTTCTAGTTTATTATTTGTATTCGTTGATTTTTGTTTATTTAAAATGGTAGAATGCCGTAAAACACAAAGTTTTACAAGTAAATCGTTAACATCATATAAGCCAAACTTGATTGCAATAGTATTATTTGTACCCTACCTGAGACCCTACCCAGCGCTACTTCCCAAAATTTAATTTATTTTTTATTTAATGTTGACATTAAATGAAAATAACGAGTGATTATGCAATTTGCAAATTTTGCAATTGACTAACCGTATTGCGAAATTTATTTCGTTCGAAATAAACAAACAAACAAATATGTTTTAATTTCCAGGTGCCGGCCCTGCTCGCCGACCATCACCACCTGCTGTTCACGTTCTATCACGTCTCGTGCCAAAAGAAGGCGGAGCAGACGGTGGTCGAGTCCCCCGTCGGGTATACGTGGTTGCCGCTACTGCGAGACGGTCGCCTCGTCTCCGGCGAGTTTTGCCTGCCGGTAATGCTCGAAACTCCCCCGCGGAACTACAGCTACATCCCGCCCGACGTTTTCCTGCCGGGAACCAGGTGGCTCGACAATCACAAAGGTCTATTTACCGTCGTTCTTGACGGCGTGTCCTCGGTACATACCCACGACGCGGCCGTGGAACGTTTCTTCGCCGCTTACGACTACGTGCACAACGGTCAGATACCCACCCGCCTCGGCGAGGTCGGTTCCGAAAAGGAGCTCGTCAACGCCATGCTAGGGTTGTCCGGGGCGAGGCCCGAAACCATCGTCAAACATCTGCCTCAGATTTTCGACGCCGTCATCGAATTACTGGTGCAACCGCCGCGAATATCGGGCCACACCCTCAACATAGGCCACGCGTGTTTCGAGACGCTGTGCCTCATGCTGGACAATGTGTCGAACCTGCACGAGCTCGTCGTAGACCGGCACGGCCGGAACGCCCTCCTCGCTACGTACATCCAGTACCAAGCGAACTTGCCCCACCCCGCGTACACCGATTGGGCGACTAGGTCGCCGATCGTGCGCAGCAACTCTAATCCTGATATCGAACTGTCGCAGTATCAGGTAAAAAAAAAATGCGTCATTTTTCATTGTTTATCCAAATGGTTCCGCTAAAGGTACTTAAATTATACAAAGTATTAGAAAAAATATTTTGGTATGACGGTGTTCTAGTAGTCGGACGGCTTTTTTATAAGAGGCTGTTTTAGCTCATTTTACAGACAAACGAAAAGAATATATTTTTTTAAGGGATTGAGTTCTTAATAAAGAGATGTAATGGGTGTTTTGAAGTTTTGAAGAAAAATAATAAAAAATTGTTATTCTATTTTGTTTCTTTCATATTCAGGCCGGGAAATTTTTACTTTGGACGGAATTAATTTTTTTCCCGCGGAAACTATTAATCCCAAATATACACGGCCGTTTTTGATTTTTTCTTTTTGTTCCTTAATTGCTGGCTCAATATCTAATTTAGAACAAAGAAAAAATGTTTCGTCTTTTCCTGAAAAATTCTGCCCAATTGCTTGTCAAAAAAAATCGTCTGTTTTGTACAAATATTTGTTTTTAAATATTTTGATGTACCATCATTTTACACATTTCAAAATGTTAATATTCGAAATTTTTCTTCCTTTTAAAATCCGTCAATTATTTCCAAAATGTCCTGCTGTATTCTATCGGGAGATTGAAGCACAGTAGGCCCCAATCTCAATTGTAGCGAACGATATGTTATAGATAAAACAAATTTTGGTAATAAAATTAAAACTCCCAACCCTAATTGGAGCTTTGCAGACGATGGGGCTTATATTTTGTGTGATTATATATATTTAAAACATTTGATAGAAACCTCACTTCTCATATTATCTAAAATGCAAAGGGAAAATGTTTTGTAGGCCTTTTAGATACTCAAGCAAGCAAAGTAAGCTGTTTTTACGTTAAAATTGAAAATTTATGAAAGTTCGAAGTCACGAGGAAAACTCATGAATACTGTTATATATTTTTATATATCCAACTCTTGGTCAAAAGAGTTTTCTATTCGACCTGGAAATTTTAAGTATTGAAATAAAATACGAAGACAATAAATGACAGCCAATACTACGTTTCTTCTGTTCCATTGCCTTACATTTTGTTTGTTTTGCCCTACAAAGTTTGAAAAAAATAAATAAGGAAGCAGATAGAAAAAAAGGAAGAAAACACTTTGCTTTATACAGGGTGAGGCGATAAGCGATAAGCAAACATAATAGGAGTGGTAGTATAATTTTTGTAATGGAATGCCATACATATTTTTGCAATTTCTACGAATGCCTCAACAAATATTTAAATGACGCCGTGATTTTTTTTAGCTAGCTTATTGGGAATAAAAAAAATAAATTACGTTTTATGGTGTTACCTCCTTTATCTTTCAATATGCTTATAATATTAAAAGTCGTAATATAGTCCATTTCATTGCTAAAAATTTGGTACAAAGTCTTGTAAACCTTGACGGGATAGGCTAACTTGTCGCTATCTAGTGAATTAGGAATATCAAATAAAAACAATACCCTCATAAGTACATTTTTATTATTACTTACTACCAAATTTTGATTATGTGCCAACGCTCGTTTTGATAAAATACATTTTAAAGCAGATATTTTTATTTTCCTCAAACACGTTGTGATTTAATTAAAATTTGTAGACGATGTGACTGTCTTTGTTTGCTTTTTTTTGCATTTCAGATGTTTGACCGACGTATTAATCAATATTTAATTCAGCCTAGGGGCCTGGATAGGGCGGCGAGTATGCGCGTGGCCGCGAACGAACCTGTCAGTCCTACCGCGAGCACGTGCCCGAGGATCGTGCACCAAGAGATCGCGTACCAGTGGACGATAGCGGGCGGCAGAAACAGGGACCTAGCGATGCAAAACGCGTGGTTCCTGTTCGAGCTGATCGCTAAGAGTATGGTCGAGCATTTGGCGTACGCGCGCGGCCTGGACGCGCCGCGCAAGGGTCGCTTCCCCGACCAGTTTTTGGACGACGTCGCCGTGTTGGTGCAGAACCTAACCGCGGAGATTATCGCGCACTCTCTGGGCGAAACGAGGAAGGTGCACAAGCTAAACGCGGCCCTTGCGTTCTTCCTGTTCGATCTGCTCTCCATCGCCGACAGAGGATGGGTCTTTCAGTTACTAAGGTAATTTAATTCAATTTTTTCTTCGCGAAAAATAACAAACATTGGATACAACCAAAAGTGAAATAAAATAAATAAAAGTATATACCGGATGTTGTTTAAAGTGGCCAAAGTGCTCACCAAGTCGCGACCAAAACGTATTCCGTAATAAACTTACTACTTGATCTTCTTTCCCTCGTCAGCATATAGCTACTAGATATACAGTTTTGGAAGCGGCAAATAAATTTTAAATGTTCTCGAAAAACAGATTAAGGGTGTGGAGATCGTTATTTAGAAGGAAAACAACGCGAAATGCAGGGTAGTGTCTGTTGTCTCCACGAAAATATCGTCGGTATACAAGAGAAAGTGACCAAGTCCAAAATTCACGATTTTTAGGTTATAATGCTCATGTACCTGAAATTCAATATTATTTTTAAGGAAAAAATGAACAAGTCCAAAAATATAATAATGCTTATAACTTCAAATGGGTAATCAAAAATCCTCAAGGAACAAAACGTGAGCGAAACAAATTATTAAAAAAATCCTGTTTGTCTGCTAAGTCCCCTAGAAATGTAAATTGTGACAATTGCCGCTATAAATGTACAGACGTATTTCCTGCAGATCTTCGACAAGATATCTGTAAAGAGTATCACAGTCTATCCCATGACAGACAAAAGGACTTCACAATTAATACTGTTGCAACTTCTGAATGCCAAAGAATACGAACCAGGGACCTTCAAAAAATGTTTCTAGAATTTATACATTTAAAAAAAATGGAACAAAGCAAAGGGTTTGTAAAAATTTTTACTTAAAAACCATGTCGATAAGTCATGGACCGGTTGATTCTGCTATACTGAACATAGGTAGAAATGAGAATAAAAAAAAAAAAATGAATGAAACCTGTCATGTTGAATGAGGTGAAGAGGCATACAGAATCATTTCCTGTAATGGAATCACATTATTGTAGACGTGGGACAACACAACATTCTACCTTATCCATTCTCAAAATGTAGGAATTGTACAAAGATTTACATATGAGCAATCAAAAGGATTTCGTTTCTCCAATAACATATAGGAGGATGTTTTGGACACAGTACAACTTATCTTTCTTCAAACTCAAAAAAGATCAATGTTTGCTGTTTGTTAAAGAAGCTAAATCTATTGAAAAATCTGACGAATTTCTTTCTCACATAAAGCGAAGAGATGACGCTAATAGAGCAAAAGATTTAGATAAACAAAGAGCAATTCATAACGAAACTTTTGTATCGGTAAGTTTTGAATTACAGAGTGTTGTGCAAATTCCATGCTCCGAGGTATCAACTCTTTACTATAGTCGAAAGCTCTGTGCATACAATTTAACAATTCATGAAGCAGCTCCACCAAATAAAGGATATTGTTATCTTTGGTCCGAAGTAGATGGCCAACGATGAAGTTGTGAAATAGGCAAAGCAAAAAGTAGGCCCAGTAATATTGCAAAAGAAACTGAGTTAAAGAAATGTTATACAGAACCCTTGCCTATATCGGCCAAGAAGAAAAAAGATTTCATTAAACTTTGCCGCAGTCGAATACCATAGTGGGTACTTTAACATACCCAGTGACAGAACCCTCACACAATGAAGATTGTGATGAAGACATATGGTTACTACTATTTGTTTAATTATAGTCTTTTTTAAGCTTAAATACATATTCTAGAATCTGCATTGTTCATAACAAACCTATGAAGTTGAAATTAATTACTAGTTTAGTATTTGTTTAAGTTAGGTATAGGCTTTTTTAATTTAAAGTACATATTCTAAAAACTACATTGTTTATAAAAATCACTATAAACTAATTTGACGCAAAATAATTGATTTTATAATCAGAAGCAAAGATTAAAATGCTAATAACTCAAAAGTACTATCTGTGGACTTGGTCACTTTCTCTTGTATACCGACGATATAGCCTCTCGAGGTGCATTAATTTTGATTGCACTAGATAAATTAAATTATCTGATATCTAACTAATCTCACGAACTAAATTTTAATGCCTAATGATTTTTTAAAACCACTTATTGTTTAAAAGAATACTTATTTTGACCACCTATTGCTTTTGGAACAACATCATTTTGCAAAACTTCGCATAAGTTAAATTCCCGTTGCACCTTGTAATCATGGCTATCGAAGATATGGTTTTAAACCTCAGTTGCTTTTTTGTTTAATTATCAAAAACGTCTGGCCATCGGGCACAAACATTGGTGTCACTAGTTAGCCAATATTAAAACTTTTCACTGGTTTTAGATTCCTTATTCCTTCCTTATTTTCATAATAAAATAGTTTTTATTGCCTATTGAATTTCTGAGCAATGTGGATTTGCGGCGTTGCCAATGTTTACAAATTTTCTGAGAGATAAAATATAACTAAATTGAAGAATGTGTGTGTGTCTAATTTTTTTCCGTGGGGACCCTTCAGTCATTTCAAGGCAAAAGTATAAAAAAATAAGCAAGCAATTAGAAACAAGTAAAAACATATATTTCTGTGAAATCCTTCATCTTCCAATCTACTATTTTATAATATTACAAAAAATAATATTCAAATTCTCTTGTCATTTTTGTTTTTTTTTGTTCAGCTATTACCCCTTTAACAATATTTTGAAGGATCCCTATAATGGTTGCTTCAAATTTTCCGGTAAATATACTTTGTTCGTTCAAAAATACTATTATTGAATATTAAATTTTGTTGTTATTTGGCACTATTCCCGACATAAACGTAGCTTCTACGATACTTGTGTGTAGGTGTAGATTTTCTTAAACTAGTCCTGCCATCTGGCGGCTAGCGTTGTCATAGGGGAAGTTTGACATTTTGAGGTTAGGTTTTGGCGAAAGAGTGTTGTTTGTGCGCTTTGATGATTGGTTCTATCGAATGCGCAAGTGTATTGATCATCAGGGTGAATATTTTGAGAAACAATAAAGTCACATTTGTTGGTAGCTTATAGTTTTTTTATTACAAATCCCGAAGTAAAAAAGGTAGCCCTCGTATATCCCACAAAAAAGTCGAAAAGTAAGTAAATTGAAGTAAATTATCAAGAAAGCTAAATTTTGAACGTTTGATAAACTTTTCATTGCTCCAAATCGTAATAATTTAGGTATTACAACAAAGAGGTCCAGACAAAAATTGCGTCTGTCGCCGACGGAGCCGTCCTCGTCGAGCTGAAGCTCGAACTCGCGCGCATCGTGTGCAGTCACGAGCACTACGTTGCCCTCAACCTGCCGTTCGCGTCTCCTTTCATGTCGTCGGGCGCCAGTGTATCCCCGAGTCCCAGCGTCGCTAGTTCGACAAGCCAAAACTCGTACGTGTCGGGGGCGGCGGCTAGTCAAGAACGAGTCACCGCCTACGCGGAACTTTCCCCCGAATACAAACGTCATCATTACCTTACGGGCCTCGTGCTCGGCGATTTGGCAACGGTGCTCCTGGAAACACCTCAACCGTCTCTTCATCATCGAGCCGTCGACACGGTACGCTCTCTACTCTCGTGGCACGACTCTGACCCGCGGTACTCGTCGCCCGAGGCCCGCCACAAGGTGGCCGCCCTCTACCTTCCGCTCCTCTCGATCGCTATGGACGTGCTGCCGCTGATGGTTCACTTTTCCGCCGACAAAATCGCCGGCGACGACGCCTCCTCCACGAACATCGACCCCTCGGTGGCGATGGTCATCGCGGGCAAGCTGCAGCCGTCTAGTTTCAACGGCAAAGTCGAGATCGGTGCGGACGTCACGCGCGATCTGCTCACCTGCACCCTGTGGGTGCTGAAAAACATCGAAGGTGACTCGCTCTCGAGGTGGATGGGCGAACTGTCTGCGTCGAGGATGGCCACGTTCCTCGGCCTCCTGGATGTCTGCACCACGTGCTTTGAGTACCGACCGAGAAGACGACCGGCGCCGTCTGGTTACGTGCAGGTCAACGATATCCGGTCCCGCCTCGAAGACGTCATACTGGGTCAGGGGTCGGCGCGCGAGATGATGCAGCGCAGGAAAGTGGGCGGCGCGGCTCAGTCGTCGGCCGAGAAGCTCCGCTGGAGGAAGGACCAGATGCCGTGCCGCGTTACCACCGAGTCGGGGGGAGGTCGGCCCAAAGAAGACAACTCGTCGGACACGCAGCTCGAGGGTCACTTCGCCGCCGAGGCTTCGCTGATCGTGCTCGACACCCTCGAACGTTGCGTCACCATCATCGCGCAGATGGACGTGCAGCAGCACCTGGTCGGTCTGTCGCTCTCCGTCCTGCTTCACGCCCTGGGCAAGAACCAAAGCACGACCGTGCTACCGCACATGTTCGCTTCGCAGCGCAGCCTCGTGTTCAAATTTCACGGCGCCCTCTTCGACGAGGAAAGCACCCACTGCGCCGATCTGTGTCTTCTCCTGCTAAAACACTGCGGCTCTCAGATGGCGGCGGTCAGATCTCAGGCCGCCGCCTCGCTCTACCTCTTGATGCGTCAGACGTTCCAATTGGGCAACAACTTTGCCCGCGTCAAGATGCAGGTGACTATGTCGTTGAGCAGCTTGGTGGGCACTTCGGCGACGTTTAGCGACGACTCGCTGAGACGGTCACTGAAAACGATCCTCGAGTACGCCGAGCGGGATGCCGAGCTTCAGGATACGACGTTCCCGGAACAGGTGCGCGATCTCATCTTCAACCTGCACATGATCCTGTCGGATACCGTGAAAATGAAAGAGTTCCAAGAGGACCCGGAAATGTTGCTCGACCTGATGTACCGCATCGCCAAAGGATACCAGAACTCGCCGGACCTGCGTCTCACGTGGCTCAAAAACATGGCGCAGAAGCACATGGAGAAGGGCAACCACACGGAGGCGGGCATGTGCTTGGTGCACTCGGCGGCTCTCGTCGCCGAATACCTGGCGATGCTGGAGTCGTTGCCTCACCTGCCCGCGGGGGCGGCCGCGTTGGAGAAGATCAGCCCGAATGTGTTGGAAGAGAGCGCGGTGTCCGACGACGTGCTCAGTCCTGAACGCGAAGGGGGTTGTCTCGGGTCCCATTTCACGGAGGCGGGGCTTATCGGATTGCTCGAGTACGCGGCGAAAAGCTTCGAAACCGCCGCGACGTACGAGCCGATGAACGACATCTACAGGGTGATGATTCCGGTCGCGGAGAACGCGCGCGACTTCAAGAAACTCGCCAACATTCACGGCAAGCTGCACGACGCGTACACGCGCATCGATCAGCTCCACGGCAAACGTATGTTCGGCACGTACTTCAGGGTCGGTTTCTACGGCTCCAAGTTCGGCGACCTCGACAAGGAGGAGTTCATCTATAAGGAGCCGACGCTTACCAAGCTGCCTGAGATTTTCAGCCGGCTGGAGAACTTTTACGCGGAGCGTTTCGGCGCGGAAAACGTCATCATCATCAAGGATTCGAATATCGTCGACCCGAACACCCTCGACCCCGAGAAAGCGTATATCCAGATCACGTACGTCGAGCCTTACTTCGAGCAGTTTGAGCTGCGGTACAGACAGACCCACTTCGACCGCAACTTTAACATCAAGAGGTTCGTGTACGCCACGCCCTTTACGATGACGGGCAAGGCGCACGGCGAGCTGAAGGATCAGTACAAACGCAAAACGATCCTGACCACTGCCGTACATTTTCCATATGTGAAGACCCGTATTCAGGTGGTGGGACGTACCCAGGTCACCCTGACGCCGGTAGAAGTGGCGATCGAAGATATCCAGAAAAAGACGCAAGAGTTGGCGGCCGCGACGCATCAGGAACCGCCCGATCCCAAGATCCTGCAGATGGTGCTGCAGGGGTGTATCGGCACGACCGTCAACCAGGGACCGTTGGAAATGGCGTTGACGTTCTTGCCGGCGAACGGCAAAACTCTAACGAGGTCGCAGAATAAGCTGAGGTTGTGCTTCCGCGACTTTTCGAAAAAGTGCTGCGACGCTCTGAAGAAAAACAAGAACCTGATCGGACCGGATCAGAAGGATTACCAGCGCGAACTCGACAGGAATTATAAGAGGTTTATCGAGAAGCTGCAGCCGCTGGTCAACGGTCAGTCGGTCACCATCGTCAGCGGCGCGAGCCCATACAAGCATGCGCAGTCCGATAGTTCCGTGCTGCGATGGTGAAAAGGGGTCGCTGCTAGGGTAAGATTTCTTGGAATCTCTACTGTTCTAGTCGCGCAGACGTTTGATATGTAGCGTTTGAGTGAATTAAAAAAAAAGATCTCTCCCATTTTTGGTTGCGCTTTTTTCTTGTGGTAGAAACTGGACCAGTTTGGGTCGCCTTATCATATGATAATAAAGTGATATGATAGTAGAGTTGTTTTATTAAGTGAATTCGAGCGAATACCAATAGCGCTGGTTTCATTGAAAAACACCGACCGCCTGAAATCTATAGCGCTTCGGTTGAACGTTATTTGTTTTGTTAGTATGTCTGCTTCACTTCGGCAATAGCGGTGTACTCGATGGGCAATTATTTGCATTCGGTGGCGTCGTTTGCAAATTGGTTACTATTAGTTCCCCATTGGGAAAAGAAGAAGAAAACAGTTGCATAGTCACGGTGTAATGATCCTGGTAATATTGCCTTGTGAAGTAAAGAAGAAGTGATTCAAAGTTTTCGGTGCATCTGAGCAGTTGGCTTTGCACGCAATAAAGCGACGCCATTGTCTATAAATCTTGATTATGATTCTCGAAAATTGTTAGCCTATATACGAAGGGCAGCGCAATGTTTGATTGAAATTAAGATACGTGTCGACAATTTTGGGTCTTCCCTTCCCAGGTAAGTGAACTAAACTTGAAATAAGTTTACAAAATAATGTTTATGTTGCATATGTTCGAACAATATCGCCAGCATAATTGTAAAACCATCTAGTATTCATTGCGCACATGACGTATTTGTAAAACGGCAATAAAATGGCGGTTTTATTCTTCTCGTTCTTCGTTTTAACCACTACATAAATACGGTAGGTTGAGATGTATAGTTCTTTGCTTTGGTTAGTGAGTTGCCGATCTATTAAATTCCTAATACTTTTTCGCAAATTGATTCTCTGGTGATGGCACTGCTAAAAATAAACAAGCATAATTGCAAACTCAATGTTCAATTGACCGGCTCATTTTACCGGCAAAAGCGACGAAAATGACGATAAAATCGTTTAACGTATTTAAAGTGTAAAGTGAAGGTCGGAGTTTTGTAGAATTCGAAACATTGTTAAATGCATAACATATTTTTAATTGGAGCTACAACCGCTAACTTAAAAAAATCCCTAGAAAGGTCAATTGTAAAGCTGGTTTGTCTGTAAGTTTCAAATATGTAGTGTGTTAGTTTTGGTTGGTTACACTTGATAACGGGTAGCGATACAACTGTCCGAAAGTTAAAAATAAAGACAATGGAAGTTCGACATCCTTTCATTATTTCTATTAGTATATTATTATTTATGTTAATATTTCTTGAGTGACATTCATCAACAGAGCAATTTGTTTTGTGATTAGATTTGAAATCGGTAAGCTTATCTTTTAATGTTCGGATGAATTCATAAAGGCGAACTAGACCAAACGAACAATTTTGTTAAACAATACTTGACTTTCATTTTCTTATATTTTGGTAACAAAGTTTCCAAACACATTGTACGTAAAGTACGCCCCTCTTAAAGTCGATTCCAGAACCGTTAAAAATAGGAGACGAGAGCATTGTTCGCGCCGCCTTGACATTTAGTGGCATTCATAGTTGGCTTTGGATCGCAGGCGCTCCAACCGCGGGAATTTTATATCCGTTCTTTTTTAGAATCAAGATTGCATCAATTGCGTCCAAATCGTTGCGTTTACACTCAGGATTCGCCATTTTATATTTAAGCACTCATGTATAATTGATTCCCTTAGGCACTGTTTTTTCGAAACATTACATACCTATTGGAAGCAATTAAAAAATATGTCCGATAGACAAGGCGTAATTTCTACATGTAGGTATTTTTTCATGAAAATATTGTGACGCGTTTTATACAAAATTGCAAGAAACTTGACGTATGACTTTTATGTGCAAAAAAAAAAATGAATTTGTGAGTGAGAAACAAGGCCAAGTGTTTTTTTTCCAAAATTCTGACGTGTTTGGTCCAATATATCTATAAAGAGAACCACTTGTGTCCGTTTTCTCAAATCTATTAAAGTAAATGTAGAAGTTTGTGATATCCTATAAAAGAACGAGTGGCGGTTATTTTGAAAAGCTGAGTCACAAGACAGCGTTGCGGTTTGTCTCTTTTTTGTATCCTTTCACGGCGACGGCCATAAACAAACTCTTGACGTGTAACAAATGCGTTTATTCGGCACCGCATTTGAATTATATTCAAGTAACGACGGTACAATAGGTAACTTAGCTGGTAAATAAACAACGGTAAAATATCAAAAAAATATCGGGAGTCTAGAAACACTTGCGGTGCACGATTCCCGGGCCCGACTCGTCGTACTCCTGCTTCGAGATCCACATCTGCTGGAACGTAGACAGCGATGCCAAGATGGACCCGCCGATCCACACGGAATACTTTCTTTCCGGCGGCGCGATGATTTTAATTTTGATCGTAGAAGGCGCGAGCGCCGTGATTTCTTTTTGCATACGATCGGCGATACCTGCGAAAACAATAGACAGCGTAAAAGATGTTGTTTCGCTATTAAATTCAGCTCGGGGGTAAGATTTATGGGTTACTTTGATCGAAAATCCGTAGTTGCTAAATCATATATTTAACATGGGTTCTAATAATTGTATTTAGAACAACTAACCTATTTGACAGAAATATATTATTCAGTTTTTTACTGCAAAGAGTAATGGCCTGTACAGAGTGGTCGTAAATGGAGTGTTTTAAAAGAAAAGTAAAATGAATAGCCGAACTAGATACAACAAAATCAACGAATATTGGCAATAGGGAGAATTTGCACTGCTGACGGAGATAGACGGCATTTTTCAATTTTCGTTCGTTTTCCAAAATTTACGATGATTCTACTATTTACGGAAATTTCTAATTCGGATAAAAATATTATAAGGGCACTTTTCTGAGGATATGGTCTTGAAAAAATACAAATATTGGTTCCTCATTCATGTTGGTATCTACGTGGAAAATAGCGATGATATAAGACATTTTTTTGTTTACGTATAACCATTCAGTACAAAACAAGTGTATTGCACATTGGAAAAGATGGTACCAAAATATTTAAACATTGATCAGTTTATTTTAACTGAAATTGTATTCTTTAATGTTCTATTAACTTAATTCCCTTAGGCGATAAACAATGGTTATTCCATAATTTTAAACGTAAAATAAAAAGCTTAATAATTCTTCATGAATTGCTTCTTGTTTGTAAATCTTCAGCTGTGGTTTATTAAGATTCAGCATTATATTTTATTACGAATTGATATTACTGTCATTGCGACTTCTTCTAATTATTCCCCTTTTTTTTATTTTTCTTTCTTATGTATATCTGAACATATAAAATGTAAAGTAGTGCAAATATTTTTTTAAATATATGTTTCCGCATTTCCACTACATATTACATTTCTCCTATATTCATTTTTTTGTGTTTTGTTTATTGTCAATCCACAGGAAATTATAATATTTCAAGTATTTTGCAAAAATATTTATAGATTTTTGGAAACTCACAATACAGGCTTGTCTTAAATGTCGTAACGAGTATTGTCAAAATATCTATACTGATTTGATTGATTTTATGTATAATTATTATATTAAAATTACTACAATTGTGTCAATGCTTTTTCAAAATATAACTATATGTAATATAACTGTTTCACTATAGTTTCACAAGAAGCCAAACAACCTAGGAAGAGCAATTGTGCTAGTGTTAATTTTGCCTTGTCGTTTAAATATTACTAACATTTAATTTTAATATTTTATTTATACGTAAAAAGCACTCTGCATATATTTTAAGGAACCATTGACAAAAGTACAGTAATTTTAATATAATAATTAAACAAAATTATTAGAATAACAATCGATGAATCAAATATTTATTGTCAGTATAGATAATTCGACAATACTTATCACCAACAATCGAACGCCTAAGACAAGCCTGCATTGTGCAGAAGTATCAACATGTTTTTTTTTATTGTTCTTCTCTGTAACGTACATTTCTACAAATCGATGTAATTTATTGTATTCATACACAATAACGCGTTTTACCACAAACCGAAACTCATCGTATTCATGATTCTATTTATTTTATTTTGATGGATTAATAATCACGTGTAATTTTGTATACCTGGATACATGGTGGTGCCACCCGACAGCACGGTGTTGGCGTACAAATCCTTCCTAATGTCCACGTCGCACTTCATGATGGAGTTGTACACAGTCTCGTGGATTCCGCACGACTCCATGCCGAGGAACGACGGCTGGAACAACGCCTCCGGGCACCGGAACCTCTCGTTGCCGATCGTAATGACCTGTCCGTCGGGCAACTCGTAGCTCTTCTCGAGCGAGGTCGAGTTGGCCGCTGTCGCCATCTCTTGCTCGAAATCGAGCGCGACGTAGCACAGTTTCTCCTTAATATCCCTGACGATCTCCCTTTCGGCCGTAGTCGTGAACGAGTAACCCCTTTCGGTGAGGATCTTCATCAAATAATCGGAAAGATCGCGACCCGCCAAGTCCAGACGCAAGATGGCGTGCGGTAAGGCGTAGCCTTCGTAGACAGGTACGGTATGCGATACGCCGTCGCCGGAGTCCAACACGATACCGGTGGTCCGTCCGGAAGCGTAGAGCGACAACACCGCCTGGATAGCGACGTACATGGCGGGGTTGTTGAACGTTTCGAACATGATCTGAGTCATCTTCTCGCGATTAGCTTTGGGGTTGAGAGGCGCCTCGGTCAACAGGATCGGGTGCTCTTCGGGAGCGACGCGTAGCTCGTTGTAGAAGGTGTGGTGCCAGATTTTTTCCATGTCGTCCCAGTTGGTGATGATGCCGTGCTCGATGGGATACTTGAGGGTCAGGATGCCGCGTTTGCTCTGGGCCTCGTCGCCGACGTACGAGTCTTTCTGACCCATACCGACCATGACGCCCTGGTGACGCGGGCGGCCGACGATCGAGGGGAAGACGGCGCGGGGGGCGTCGTCGCCAGCGAATCCCGCCTTGCACATGCCCGAACCGTTGTCGATGACCAGGGCGCCTACATCGTCGTCGCACATTGTCGCTTTCTAGGTAGCGGAGCTCTGGAAGCGAGAGGATCGTGGATAAAGACGTCTTTAACAATACATTGCGTTTTGTCATTGGCATTGCTGCTGATTTCTGATGATTAATTTTCCGATTAAGGACGTATAAAAATAAAAGTTCGGTTTCTAACTGCGCCGTTCATTTAAATTCAGAAATGTACAAGTTTGACGATAATTTTGATATTTTACATAATGAATCAAAAAGCAAAATACTAAATTTGTTGGAAGCGATGGAGATTAACAAAATGAGATATTCGAATATATTACTGAATGACCATTTGGATTTAAATGCGTCTCCGTTGTTGAATTTAAATTTATAACTCTACAGCGTTAATTACATAATCATTAAATTACTGTGAAGATCTGTGCATTTTTTATTCTAATTTAATTGTCATAACGGTAGGTTTATTTTCGCTGCAGGTTTCTTTTCCTCAGGAATTTATTGTTTTCGAGGCTCTAACTTGCTGCATTGTCCTAACTACTTTATCTTAAAATAATGGACTTTCAATTTTTCTTGAAAATCTCTCCTGCGAATAATCGAAGGAAATAAACAATACTCTCACGATAGTCATACAAGCTAACAATACATAAAAAACCCTAGTCTTACGTTAGATATCGAGTACTGTAGATGAAAATAACTCCGGCATCGTCCGACAAGCAAAAATTTGTAGTGCTTGTCGCACTAAAATCAGGAAATATTCGAGTCCGGTCCTGCTTCGACTATTCAAAGACTGTTAAGAGTTAATTCAATCGGAAATGAAAACTGTGCGCGGTAGTGCAGCCAATATAGATTTTGTAAGGCAAAGTATATTTAGAGTAAGACGGATAGTATTATATATTCTTTTTATGTCTTACAAATGTACAAAGAAGTGTTTATTTATTTCTCAATTTTTCTGCCTGTTTGGGGTTTTTGGGAGTAGATCGTTCGCTAGATCGTTTTACAAGCGTGATACTCCAGTATTATATAGAATAATAATAACTGATAATTTAAATAATAATAAATTTTTATGCAATAACGAATATTGTTGGTGCTATGTAATTTAATTGTTACAAAAATTTGAAAAAACAAAAATATTTCAACAAATAAAAAATATTAGTAAAATGTAATGACATATTTCGATAAATACGTCTGTACTTAATGTCTTTGTTGGTACGCCATAAAAAATATGTACTGAAATTTTCTGACCAATAATTTCTTTTAAAACTTGAGAATTTCCAAATATGTCAATATTTTGTAGGTAAATAAGGTTATTAAACAAACAGCACCGCATTCCCATTCGCATAAATGAGCACAATTTGATCCACTTTTCTAAAACTCCGAAATCGATTTAGTTTAGATCGGATTTACTGTACATTAAACGCATTTTTCAGACGATTTTTCCCGAAAAACACTTCGATTACTATGAAAATGAAAAAACCACTGTATACATCCACCGTTCTCTTGAACGTTACAAACCGAGTCGTTACTTGAACAAGCGTTTACAAGAATACGGTAGAAATTAACTCGACACGGACCTGTACACACCCGAACAATCGACAGCGATGACGTATATCAAACCGATACCAACCTCGAAAATCAAATGTGACTCGCCGCACTAATTAATCGAGTGCGCGTCCCTCCCAATCGGATCTTTTTTATAAGGTACCCTCCCCGTTTCGAATTTATAATTATTACCTGCAGTGTGGGGGTCCATTTCTGGACGTCGAGCGTCGCGAAGGCCGGCGTCGTCCATATAAGGAGACGCGACTCGGAAAAATGCGACCCGCATTCTTCGTGTGACGCGTTTTTGGGCGCCGATCCCAGCCTTTAGCGATTGTTAAGGAAAAAAGCATGGCGGACCGAACTTTGCGCGTTTTCCTCGTCAGTGACGCTTTTGTGGCAGCTTCGACATGGTTATTCTATGTAGCTAATAGGTAGATGTTACCTTATACTGATAATACACTATCGAGCACTTCAGTACTCACCATCAAATCAATTCGCAGGATCGATATTCAACCTGCGCATGCGCGAATCATTTCAAACATAAGACGTTCAACGAAAAGAACTCAATCTCAACTGGAATCGACCTATTAATGCAGCCAATATCGATTTTGTGAGGAAAATTTTATTTGTAATAATAAGTATTCTTCTATACGTTAATGTATGCAGATAAGTGTAGTAACAGATTGTTTTATATTGTTTTTCTACTCCCGTCTGTAAAATACCTAATTACGCACTGATCTAGTGTGCGGAAAGCGTCACTTGACCACGTCAGTTTCGTTTCCCACGAATCCGAGAAACTTCAGACTTTTCCGGGATTTTACCGCACGGGTTTGGGAGCAATCGGATGTTTTCGGAGATTTTACCGCACGGTTTGTATTTTGACGTTTGTCAATTCTGGCAGTCATGTCAGTGAATGTATTCGTGTTTTGCGAAAATGTCCGCAAAAACTAACGGTCGTAGAAAAAGTATAGTATGCAACACGATCGCTAGACTTTTTAACTCACCCGTTTACCGCACTTGTTGCATAATATACTATTCTCAAACAGTATACAACTTGTATGCACTTTTTTTCAAAAATTTTTTTAGAAGTTATAATATTAAGGAAAGGAAATTAAATATTTAAAGAAATGTAAATGATTTTAATAAGAATTATATTTATGCAAATGAGAAAGGGAAAGACAAGAATCCCTATTACCGGCCGTCTTTTTCTAAAATTTGCCTCACTTTCCCATTTGTGTGATCATTTAACACTTATACAGCAAATCGTCTAACGTCTGAACTCCATCGAAATGGCCGATGCTACGTCATCAGGAATATGCCGTATTTGGATCGAGTTCACTGCGTTCAACATGGCCGCTGACAGGAATGGCTGTCAGTTTATGAGTTACAACGTTTTCGTTTCGACTGCTCGTCGTTCGGTCGAACTGTTGAGTGTTTTTTTTTAAATTTTGTTGGTCATTGAAATTTATGGGAATTTGTGAATTGGTTTTCGGTAAGTACATAATACCTAATTTTAAAATCCCATCGTTCTGTTTATCATGCGTCGTATTTACGTTTTATCGGATTTTTTACTACTGAAGTCCATAGAAAAAACGAATTAACATGAAGAACCACGCAAATTCCGGGAATTATGCGATTATGCGTTGAATCTAGGAACATATACGTAGTGTGTCGAATTCGACACTCAAACATTTAGATTTTGAAATCGATATATTTCTTGCCGATGAGCTCGATGTTTCGTTAAAAAGTTTAATTTATCTAGAGAAATTGAAGGAATTATATAACGCAAAATTTTAAATTTCTCGTTTTTGGTTTAATTTTTTTTTTACCAGCATAGTTTACAAATTTTCATCGGGACTTTTTCACAATTTATCCTAAAGTATAAATGGTAAAACAAACGCAACAACCGCAACGGATTTTTACCTTTACCTAAAGATAGAGCCCCAATGTTCCATGGGGAAATGTATTGTTCCCAAAATTAAAAATAAATTATCATAAATAATTTAATGTAATACCATCTATACAGTGAATCGAATCGAATCATAAACTCGAATTGTAGTAGTAAAAATTTTTATTGCAAAACCTAATGATTATTTCACGTAATCACAGTCACGAAAAAACAAAACTCAAGTCTCCTTCTTCAAACTTAAATTTAAGTTCGTAAGGAATGGAGGATGCTGTTTTGCTTGGAAACAAGCTGACCCCCTGCCTCGTATGCACGTCCCAGGTTATTTTACGACCTGTTACGATCTCTTCAGTCGGTCCTGTCGAAATTACAACGGTCGGCGATTCGATGTGCCACTCGACCCATAACGCGATGCCATTGCACTCTTCATTTCTGTAAGTATTCGCACATATGTATAATGTGGCTTAAATAAGAATGTAGTAAAACTGTTTCGTCCAAAAGATGACGTACGGCATTTGGAAACTTAATTTACTAAAAATTACAGAAAATATTTCAGTTAGGATTGTAAAGAGAGAATTAAATTTAGCTTATCTACGAGCTAAATAAAGGGCCTATATCATCAGGGTAGTAAACCACAAATTCATTCTTCTCTAGAAATAATTCCACGGTTCCTAAATGAATGATCAAATTGAAGTGTCTTTCTTCTTTCTATTCAGGCAACTCAGACCACTGTGGTTATGTAACAAAAATAATTTAAAAAGGTATCCTGCACATCCAGTATTTCTCGATCCACCCAGCTTTGAAAGAATATAAATGCATTGAAATTTCCGAAAACTCGGTGCAGAATAATGTCAAAGGAGGATCGAGTTTTGTTTGGATTTTTTAAGTAGACATAATTAGAATGATAATTTTTTGAAAAATATTTTATGGACCGATGAATGTTCGTTGATAAATACACGAAATAAAAACTCAGGAGTTCCATGCAATTAATGAATGGTGTCATAGATGGGCATATTTTGGGTACAATATTTATAGACCAAAAATTAACTGCAGATCATTCTTTGCAACTCTTAGAGCACCAAATAGAACCAAATAAAACAATATATAGAAGATTAACCCCTAAATGTATCAACTATGGAGTGGCCAGCCAACAGCCCCGGCTTAACTTTAATCGATAGCCACTGAATATGAAAAGACATGGTAAAGTAATGTTGCCTTGACTATGACACTTACTCTGTAATGACGAAGGTACCAACTGATTTGATATCTCGTTGGTCCAAATGGTGCATGTCTATAGAGGCCATTTCAACTACCGGCCCTAACGCCACACAAGGGTATTCCCACAGGGGTTGGGGTTCGACGTTGGCGTCGCTTTTACCGCTAGACTCCTTAAAAACGTTCAATTATTTTCGTCGGCTGAATCGAATTTCGACTATACCTCTATGAGATCGTCGAACGGTTTCACGTCGAAGCCTTCGCACAGCCCCAGCGGCGCTCGTATTTTGTACAGGTCCTCGAAACGCACCGGTACACCTTTGATCGTACATTTTTGCGGAAAAATTTTCACGGTACCGGACAACCGTCCCTTCAACTTGTTTAACAAATACAAAAAATAGAGATTGTCCCACGGAAGGATGCTGCTGGAGAAATAAGGCTCGCCCAGAACCAAAGTGACCTCCGACGCGATTCGGCCCGGGTCGTCGTCCTCGGCCAATATTTCGACATTGCCCATTTGGTTGGTTTTTACATAATCCCTCCAAATTGGTCGCAGCATTCTATTCGTTTCGTAACAATACAGTTTCCTTGCGCCTAGTTTCGAAGCCGCCAAACCCAAGAAGAAGCCGTCGCTCAGCAGTAGCACCACGCTCGACGAGTCGACGTGCTTTTCCAATATCTTTAAGTATTTTTTGTTGCGCTTCGTATCGTTCATTTGGCCGATTCGTGTCCGCGAGGCGGCCACGTGAAGACCGCACTCGCACACGGGTCTCGAATAATGAATATTGCTTATTTTTAAATCGGTCGCGACGTTGAACCACAGAGAGTACTCGTCGTGACAACTGATCAAGTTGATTTCCTGTCCTTTTCGTACGGCGACCTCTCGCGGCAAATAGTATATTGCTTGCATCCAATGGTCGCGCCACGCAGGTTTCTCTTGCCCTCGACGCGCCCAGGTGGGGGCGCAGCTTAGAACGTGCCTATTGTCCGCGTCCATTTGTAGTTCCCACCACATGAACACCATCTGGGCGGTACCGTCTGCCTGGGATACTGCGCTCGTGATCGTGGAACGGTCGTAGACGAACGGCGTCCGACCGGACCAATCGAATCTCAGCACCGGTTCGGGGGACGTTATAGCGTTGAAACGGCTCAATTGGCTGAGCTGCACGTCGTGGACGGCAGCGGAACCGGCGCAGGTCACGACCGACTCGGGCGTTTTCATTAATAGGTCGAGATCGTCGTTAAACACGTCCTTTGGTTTGTTCCAGTCGCGAGCCGCCGGGCACTCGACAACCTAAGTGAGACTTTGAACAGCTAAGCGCATAACGTCCCTGTCAAAGATCTCGGACAAACACCTTTGGTCATTGAAAAAGCAAAATCCAGCCTTTGGTGTATTATGTAAGGGTTCCTACATTTTCCAAAAGTACAATTGGATGACTTGCACAAAATCATAATCAACTGAAGCGACCCCCAAATCGAAAAGTTGAACTCTCCATTTTTTAAAAACATCTTTGTCAAAGATCTTTGATAGCACAATATTGGTGGAAGTAAATGGGACCTTTTTGCAACTCTTATTTTTGCGTTGTTTTTCTTTATTATTTGTTTGAAGCGATGAAATATAACGTTTTCCGCTGTTGACTAAAAAAATGAACCCCTACCTACAGGGGAATAAGGTTCCTCTTACTAAAGTTTAAAGTGTCAGTACGATTATGATAAATTTCAAAAATAGCAAATAATTTGTGTCATTAATTTTTAATTAATCTATTTTTTTGAATAGTATCTGTCTAGTTGAATTCAAAATAATCAGAAACGGTTATATTCCGTTAATAACCAATAATGTAACATAAGAGGTGCAAAAAGTCTCTATTAATAAGAGACTACTCAAACCTGGGCAAAAATAGTGGCAGATGTCGGAACGACGAGACAATCTTTGTCGAGGAGATGCAAGTGAGCATGTCTAAAAGTGGAAAGCGCACCTTCTCCGATCAGCTCTGTATCAAACACTTCAGTTACCAATATATTGCATTTTCTTTGGAGATCTCCCGATTCCCCGACAGTTAATTCAGTAGAGCGTTTCGGAATAATCATAATCTTTCCTTCAAACCCGTTGCACTTTATAATTTTTCTCGCGCACTCGCTCATTGGCTTGAAAGCCTCACAGGCGGTAATAGTATCCGCGTTGTGCCTGGCCGCCATCATCGACAACAAACCTGTCCCTGTCCCGATATCTAGAACGTTGGCCTTTTTACCTGCCGCGTGCATTTTATCTATGGCCGCTTTTAGGGCTTTTTCGTACACCTCGTTGCGTTCGGTGTCGTGGAGCATATCCGCGAACGCGGATCTCGCGACTTCCTGGTGAAAATCGTAGTCGTCGTCCAGCATTATCCAACCTTTTGCGCCGGTGATGGGGTTTACTCTTTCCACGAAAGTACTCATGGCTATTACCGGCTTCAAATCTACGCAGTAAACATTGCTGAACGCGGTGCGATGCCAATATTTTCGTAGAATTTTTGAAAAAACAGGCATATAAATGAACAACCGTGATAGGTTAGTTGCGGTTTTCTTCTTCGTTTTCGCGTAGTGGCCTCTTCCACGGAATAACACGTTGATTCTGTGCTTCACGTCAAACGTCCCCTACCGTGCCAATTTGATTCCAAATTGGAGGAATCCTATTGAAATTTACTTAGTGCCTTTCGTAATTGCCTAGATGTAGTGCAAGTAATTTTTACCAGTTTTTATCTAACGGACAAGAAAGGTAAGAAATAACTGGGCAATATAATTTAGGTAAGTATATTTTGCAATTATAATCATAAAATGACATACATAATATTCATTTGCAGTGAACCTATTTTTGTACAGTAATATACAGAACGGAAAATAATATCTCATGTAGACCGTTTCCAAAGTGAATTGCGGCCTTTTCAAAGTAGTCCCTTTGGAAAACCGCAATTCAAATTGCAAACATGAGCAAGACTAGTTCGATCACATAAACTAAAAGTGAATTGCAACTCCTTTAACATTTTTTTGGATATGGAATTTGTCACTAAAAACACGGGAAGGTGAGATTTTTTTGTCGGTCAAACTCAATTAATACATCTTAAGACGCAAAAGTAAGTGGAGAGGGTCAATATTTTTTGTTCAGTCTTTCCTGGGTTCAATTAAAACTTTAAAAAGGTAGCGAGCATGCGTCAGTCGAATTTTTGATCGGAATACGCGGAAAAGCCGCTCTAAACAGCCACAAATATTTGAGAATACATCACTCGAAAATTATTTACAGTAAAACTATGGAAACCGTTTCGAAATATAAAAAAAAACTAACTCGAAAATTGGTTAAATCGTCCGATCTGCAGCTTATTGAAGAAGCCGAATCCAATCGTTCCGACTTAATTCAATTAGCATTTTCAATACTGACAATTTTTGCTTAAAAAAAAGTACATACACGGAAAAATATAAATCGGTCTAAACCTTAAATGATTATTTATATACATTTTTAGATAATAAAAAATACACATTTTTCTCATAAATAAAAAAATATAGTAACTAATATGGGTCTAAACGAGTTTTTTTTTAAAACTTAATCAGGTACTCTTCCCAGGGGTAAATTTCAAATAGGATGCGTACTCGCGCACCAAGGCGTCTCGGCGCCCGAATCGGTAGCACAAAATTTACCCCGGTACCCACGGGTTCCATTTAATCTACGGGTCGGGTTAAGCAACACATAGAGTACAACCTCAATTATCGGGTGGCGAGTCGTCTACACTGCCGACACTTGCGTTTCTTCATCGTCTGTCCAAACAAAGAGTAAAAATTACTAAACGCTCAATTAGCGGCATTCTGATTTGTGGGTCGTCATTCGTTAGGTCACAGTATCTCAAACCATTATGATGATTGTGTCTGAATCACGCGACTGGTCTGTCAAGTCGTCTCCTATAGGGGCAAGTTGTGCGAATTAGTCTTGGTGAAACCGTATGTCTGTCTGGTATATATTACACGAGATTATAGAGGGCAAAGGGTGCGTTTACCTTGATCGGTATCGGGGTCAGTGTGATAGTGATAGCCCTGTGTTACCCCTTCGTGAGAGTGGGCCCTCCCTAACCTGTGCAACCGGGCCATATGGGCGGCCACACTATACGAAGGAGGCTGCCTCCTACCACCGCCTGAAAGTTAATTACAAATGTGTGAAAGGTTTATTTACAAGAGTCTAATAACACACGCAGCTGCCCGGGTTGGTACACGATTAAAGGAGCTGGGAATTATGAATTTTAAAAATTTCGTAAAGTTATCATATTTTACGTAGCTGCTTTATATACAGGGGTTTCAGCTATGCGGATAATACAGGCACTTTCGTTAATCAAAATGTCAGATCCAACAATTTCTACCCTATTTGCGGTCCCTATATTATCCAATAGCTAGATAAAATCAACATTTTATAAGAAATTAAGATTTAGTTTTCTGGAAAACCTGGAAGTGTCTGGAAAATTTTTATTTACTTTGCTGTACCAACCCTGGTTTGAAAGTTAAGATAGTAGTTAGTGTAACGCAGGAAATTTTGTATATATTTAGGCAGGCATGACATATTTTAATCATGTGAGGGTTCACAGTAGGGCAAAATATAAAGGCGCCTACATTAACTTGATCGATAACTGATCTCTTAGGGCCAAATGCACCCTGGTGATTTAATCTAGATTTTCACTACTATTCATAGGTTAAACTCAATCCCCGTAATTGTTAGAATTAATCTTCCAATTCTAACCTAAAAGTTTACAACAAAACCTAAACGGCGGTAAATGGTGCGTGATTCAAGCCAGATATATTTGGATTCCCATTTATATGAAAGGTGTTTTTTTTTTAAGATTCATTGTTTACAGATCCAGAAAATAAACACGTCTCAAAAAAAAAAGTTAAGACGGCACACAAAACATTCATTGATTTCGGTTTGGTTAGTACAAATCTGTTTTTTTGAATGGTGTCTCAAAGATTACCTGATTCTTGAAAGAGTAGTACAAGCTGAGAATACCAAATAAGTTTATTAGACTAGTCAACAGTTAACGGTGCACACTTCCTTTAAGGCTCTGTTAAAAGATCATTTTTATAAATAGATGAACTGTAAGAGTTACATTATATCAACAATATGTTAGATGGAGGCGAATCGTGATCGAAGAATATCTACAGGGAAGCGTGCAAAAACTACGTACCGGACGGGACCGGTGCGGGCCTCGACGGGCTCGGACACCTTGGCTGGTACTGCAGATCGGCCGTCATTTGACTGATGGTGCTGTGACCCGAATCGGAAGAAGTGACAGAACCTGTGCGAACATGCATGGAAATGACTCGATGTGCGCGAGACGAATAGAGGAGGGAGAAAGGGAAGAGATAGAACAAAACAAAAAACGGACGCACTTACCGGACGTGAGGGTTTTGCGCAGGGGCAGATTGCTCAGCGACGTCACGCTGCTACTTTCGGCGGATAGCGCGACCGACGGTAGCGGCGACGGCGTGTCCGAGTGCGAACGTTCGTGCATAGCGCGACCGCCCGCCCCCGAACTCGTCGAGCTGTGCGACCCGTAACTCGAGTAACTGCCGGTCGCGCTGGGCGCCCTGCGCACGGCCGGACTAGGCTGCGTGACGGGCAGTCCCTGCTGCGTCGGCGGTTGCCTGGGTTGGTGGGGCCGCGTCTTATTCGGCTCCGACAGGGCCAGCAGTTTTCTTACCGCCTGCGGAGACGCCGACCCTTCCGAACACACCGTTAATATGATTGTAGACGAACAGGTGTCACAAAAATCATGTATGGTGTGTCTCAAAGTTTAACGTCTTGATTTTTGACGACAGACCCTCCCTCAAAAAATAATTATGACCTTCACACGCCTTACGTTGTAGATTACGTTTTACCGTTCGTTTCGACAAAGCTAATGTCGAGTCGACATCATTTGTCATTATGTACAAAAAAAAATGGTAAAAATGTGTTGGAATGTTCAATAAGTAGATTTATTAAACAAGAAGGTTTAAAAAAGAAACTTGACTACTTACAAAAGCGCCTTTATCCTCGATAAAGGTAATTGTCGACAGTGAATAATTAACAAATTATTGAAAATTAAAGAAAAAAAAATCATATTTTTTTATCTTGAATAAGCTGGAAAAAAAACTAGGAGAATATGACAATTATTTATTTGCGGTCATCGTATTTTTTCTTAGTAATAATGTAATTTTATTACACCTAATTAAACATACTATAGTATTTAATCTTTAGATTTTTAAAACACCTTAAATATCCATTGCTGATCGGCAGGCTATTTCGATGACTGCCGCCAAAAGTCAATACGATATACTTTGAGAAACATTATAAAATAATACAATTTTACACAAACCTCTTAAAATGAGGAAAAAATTTAGTTTTCAGTTTTTTGTTGTAATAAGCTTAACACAACTTCACTTAGTAATTTAAAAAAAAATTAAAGTTTGTATAACATTTATATACAAGACGTGTGAAAATATAAAAACTATTTCATGTTCGACTTTAGAAAAAGATGCTATTCTTCCTAGAAAGTTTTTCGTAGCCTAACCTCTTAAAAAGTTAAGTTTAGAGTTTTTCGTTATAATAAGCTTAATAATTGAAAATACTCTTTCATCATCACCTAACTGACAGAAAAGTAATGGCTCAAAACAATTACTGACTTACCTGGTTGAGCATTATTTAATACAAAATATGTTGCAATTTTTGATAAGATTTAATTAATAGGGATAAGGGATTTCTGGCCCTCAGTACTGATGTTTTCGCGAAAACTACTGAAAATTTAGACTTTTTATTTTTACATCATAGATTATAGACGCACTTAGCTCACACAGGAAAACGCTTCATCCGCGGTATATATTTGCACGAGGAATTAGATTTTGGCGCTCACCGAATTTGGCGGCAGTTGGTTTTCGTTCGTCACTGGCGCTACTCGTGCTACTGGTGGTCGAAGGGGCGGGGGATGCGTGACGCTTGGACCTTTGGCTTCCCGGTCCGGAGAATCCGCCGCCGCCCGCAGAGTTGCCCTCGCATTCGACCGACATCTCGTGCAGCTTCTGCTCGTCCGTCACCACTTGGAGATTGTTCAGGTAGGCTTTCACCCGCCTGACCATCTGCGACTCCTCGAACATTTTCTTGGGGTTGGGCGCCGCGGTCGACTTTTTGCGCCTTTTGACCGTCGCCTGACCTTGGGCGTGGTACTGGGACGCGGCGGTCGTCATTTGATTCAGCGCGACCATCGCGTTGCTCGCCGGCTGCCCGCCCAGCTCGAGCATAGTCAGGAGGTCGTAGGGGCTGCTGCACATGTTGCTCAACGACCTCACCTCTTTGGCGATCATCCGCAGTTTTTCGAAATTGACCAGGTTCTCCACGTGGGAATCATTGCCCAGGTGGATAAAGGTCAGGTCTTTTTTCACCACCGGATAGAAGGGGATCTATAAAAAACGTTGTTGCGAAAAAGGAGAGATTCGGTGCCGTGATTAATTTTAGGGTACAGACGGACGGAGAACTCATTCGCACACGAGACAGAGCGGGATACGGACAAACCACACCAAACTTACAAGATAGTACAGTACCAGAAAATTCTAAAAGAATAAATAAAATAAGGCCGATGATATTATCCTATGCTAGCAATAAACCCGAACCAATGACGCAAGAGATTCAATCGCCGGTCATTGGCCGTTGATTTTGTTCACTTACGATCGGAGGCTGCGTCTGCTCCGCGCTGATCAGTTGACGGTACTTGCTCATGTTGCGCGACGGGTCCATCAGCTGCTGCAGATCGTTGAAGATCCTCTGGTACTTGCCCGGCAACTTGTCCCACGTCTGGCGTAATCGGGATACCGCCCCATGTCCCAGGCCGCTCACGATCGCGAACATTGAGTTGAAATTTTTGCACTCTTTGCACTGCCCTATGAAAGATGTGGAAAATGTTGAATAATAACATCACTAATCACAATAAATAACAACTAAAAGTCCAGATTTTCACGAAATCATATATTATGACATGACAATTGTCTCGACAACACGGTGTCTTTATCAAATGTAATATTTACAAACTACCTGATACTATATACACCGAAAAATGACCATAAAACCTTAATTAATGTTGTTGCGAGAATTTAAGTTCAATATATCTAATTGATCGTTAAGCAATACATTTGAATGTCTCATTTTGTTAATTTATATAAATATTACATTTGATAAAGACACGGTGTTGTCGAAACAATTGTCATGTCATAATATATAATTTCGTGAAAATCTGAACTTTTAGTTCTTATTTATTTTGATAACTGGATTTGCATCAAGTAAAAGCCACCTCAGTTCAATAGCTAATCACGTACTACTAAAATCTACTTACTTGCGACTTTGATGAACTGCTTGACGATTTTCATCCTCCTAACGGGGTTCTGCTCCGAGCAGACCTCGCTGACGACCCAGAACATCTCCTTGTTAACGAGGGCAGCGAACTGTTGCAGCATCGGGGTACCGTACTTTGATTTCAAATCGAACAAATCGTCGATGTATTCGGTCGGCTCGATTTGCCTAAATATACTGAAGTCCTGCAACGTCAGCTGTATGGCGACCTCGACCGCGTTCAATTGAAGGAAATGAACCGCGCTCTCGCGCACTAATTCGGGCGCGAGCTCGTCCGGCACCAGCGTTTCGGTCACGCCGTTCGTCTTCAGGTAGTACCGGCTACTGAGACCGATCCTCTCCGCCAAGTTCTGCAGCTGATCGGGCAAGCGGCGCTGCTTTATGGTCTGCGTATCCGTCACCGACACCTCGCACAAACTGAAGTTTGAACTCGGGTCGGTCATGCCGAACTCCTGGAGCGCGAGCATCACCACCTCGTGCGCGGTCGTCTCTTTGTGGATCAGGAGGTATTTATAACTTTGGTCCGGCTTGAATACCTGCGGCCGAGAAGGTGATCGGTTGGGAAGCGGAACAGACAAGACAGAAGACCACACTTTGGTCAAGAAGCAAAGTGAAGGGAGTCTATTTAATGAAAGAAATTTATCCACGTGATGGATACTAATCACTTTCTATGACCATTAGTTTGACAAACGTGACTAAAAACAACCCAAAACATCAGAAGAGGCAAACAAATGTATGATTAAAGACAGGAAATCTCCAAAGCGACTGTGTTTAACCATGCTGATGTCTTAAAGCGGGATTTTGCGCATGTCCAATCACTATATAAATAGAGAGTAGAAAAAAGATAATCAATAATTAGATAATCAACGAATACATATTTCAAAAGGTTGATTCTAAATTAGTACCAATAGAGTCAGAATTGTTGGCAGAATGATTCCTTAACCGAGTTGATAGAATTAAAACAATTGGAGGAATATCGGTTGTAAAGTAATACTACCAAGAAACGATGAAGTGTGTTTTATCTTCTCTGACGGCATCAACTTCGAAAGTAAATTAAAAACCAATTGCGGCGTACTAACCTTCAAAACGTGTTCCGGGTAATCGGTACACCTCAGGTCGTCGTAACAGATCGACATCAGGTCGGGATTGCTCTGGGACTGGTACAAATTGGTCGACAGGTTCGACTGCGGCGTGAAACTGTCGACCTGATCGGTGCCCATGCTGGAACGTACGTAATTTAAAACGGAACCGATCGACGCCCGACCGGACTCACTTGATAATATTCTTGGGCAGGATGTTCATCTTCATCAGCGCCTTCTGCAGCCGCTTCTTCGGTCCCATCGTGGAGAACATGGGTTTCTTGCCCTCGCGCTGGGGACTGTTGATGGTGACCGGCTGCGAGCAGGGCGTGTCCGCGCTCAGTATTAGGTTGCCGTCGACGCTGGACAACCTGGCGCGCGGATCGTGTTGGATTTTCGAGATTTCCGACACCTTGCGGCTCCTCGGTCGCGGCGAATTGTCCGGCGTGTTGAGCATCTCTTTGAAATTCAACAGGTTCGACTTGATCGTGATGCTGAGGTGCGTGGTGCCGCGGAGTATCTCCAAGGCGCGGGCGTGCGACACGTGCTCGAAGCTCTGCCCGTTAACTTCGAGTATTTGATCGCCGCGTTTCAATCCAACGTCCTCCGCCTTGCTCCTCTTATCCACCTTCGATATGAAAATGCCGAAATTTCGTTCGAACCCGCCCAATATCTGGAAGCTGAGCGGCTCGTCGCGATTCGGTCTCGCGAGCACTACGTTCCTGATCCTGGCCTTGGCCGCGCACGCGATGTTCAATAGCCGCAACTGACCGACCATGTTTTCGTTCTCCAAGCACTGCTCGAACGTTTCGAGAAACTCGATCATGTCCGGGTCGGTTTCGAAATCGGTAAAGTGGTTGTTCACCCACAACAGGACGACGCGGGTGACCCTGTCCCGCACCTCCGGCTCCTTGAACCACTCGAGAAGCTGGCCGGCGATGTGCAACGGGCTGGGTGTAAACACCCGATGGGTGAGAAGAAAATCTTCGACATACGTCGGGTCGGTGAGCGAGTTTTCTTCGATCAATTGATGCATAAGGCGCTCGGGACTGCCTCGGATCACCACGTGGCCACGCCTATTGCAACCCGACTCGACGGAGCCGCGTAGTTCAGTCACCATCACCAGTTTGCCGTCTTCTTCGTGACGACGCGTGTTTTCCTCGCCCTGGTGGAGTATCCTGCAATGAAGAGCGCCACGATAGCTCCGGTCTCATCTCGGGAGCTTCGTTTCCCCGCTCACCTGTAATAATCCGACTGGGTGATGCAAACGAACTGGCAATCGTCGCACTTGGTGATCATGATGCCCTTGTGGTAGAGTTTGTCCATGGTGGGCAGTATGCCGAACGCGTCGCCCATGGTTAGTATTTGGTTCTCTTCGCCGGAGATGACTACCTCGACGCAACCGTTGACCAGCACTGACCACGAGTCGAGCTCTTCGCCGTCGTTCATCACCACCGTGCCAGCTTTCTCTACCACGGCGAAGACCATCACGGCGCACAAGGCTCTCCGTACCGCTAACGTCATATTGGTGAACGCTTTTAGGTGCTGCGTGAACTCCAGCAGAGTCTCGATATCGTCTTCGGTTCGTTCCGACGGGTCTTTTTCCAAACAGTCTCTTACTCTATCTCTCACGGTCAAGCTCTGCAATTTCGTCGCGCTCACTTAATACGGACACGGGAGACTTTTATCAGATTTTCAATTTTGCAGCCCTAAATTGTGGTACTACTAGATGTACCATTTCTTGATCTTGGTAAGTGTAATAAATCTCAGAGTTATTAGTTATAATATTCTATTATAATGGGTTTGAATCGAATTTTTACATTTCAAATTTGGCGATTTGTCTGAGCCTACTTAAGAAATTTTGTAAAATAAATTCAATTGAAGATTACCAATGTCAACCAATCATTCTTCAAAGAAACTTCCACAGTCTACTGTAATACTTTTTACAAAACTTCTGGATTCCTCCTGCGTCGGTTTTTGCTGAGTCGAACTTGCTGACGTTTCGCCAATCATCCTGTCGGCTTCTTCAGAGCTTAACCGATACAGTTTCAGGTTGATTGGCGAAACGTTGGCAAGTTCGACTAAGCAAAAACCGTCATCTATCGAATCTCGCGAAGTTTGTCAAGAAAAAGTAAAATATGTACTTCAAATATCGATGTTTTCAATATAAATTTAAACACGATTCTTTAAAAAAAGATAGTATATAGGGCAGGGTGGGGCAAGGCGGGCCACTTAAGCTTTTTATTATTTTTTGTGGCTTTTAACCATCAAGTCGATTTATTTTTGACTAACTTTAACTAAAATTTGTTTTTGGTTAGATTTTCGAAAGCTCTGCCTTTAGACCAAATCCATGGAATTCACCAAAAAATAACATTTCACCCCTGGTATTACGCAAAGGGCTAAAAATGTACAAATAAAAAGGATTTATAACGATTAAAAGAAAAAAAACTGTTTTGGTTAATTTTTGATGAACTAAAATTCCATTTATTGTTACAATTTAAAATATCCCTTGGCTTGTTTTAACATTTTTCCTAGTTTTGTTATATTTCATCGTAAATGGACACTTACGTCCATACTTTCAGCCAGGTCGTCTTCCTCATCGCTGTCCACTATACTCTCGACCAGTCCCGAGAGGTCGGGCTCGTCCCCGTCCAGTTCCGAATGCGTGGAGGCCATCGTGTCGGAGCCGCTGTACGCGGACGACGTGTCCGACGAGTGGGAACCCCGCGAGCACTTGTGGTAGAGGCTCGGCCGCGGGATATTGTTGGGCGGATGTCCGCCGTACTGAAATTCACGTGACGTTGCATATTTTTCGCGTAGAGAGGGCGCCACACTTACGGCGTCGTCGAACATGATGCTGATCGGTCTGTGCTGGGGATGGTCCATCGCGTTAGGGAGCCTTCTAGTTTGCTCTAGGTCTGGATAGTCTATCTGCGTCAAAAATAACGAATCAACAATGAAACACAAAAAATCTCTTGCATATTATCGATTTCCAAAACTCCCAAAAATGTTTTATTAAAATTATTTATAACTAACCAAAATTTATTCAACACAAAGTTGTTTTAAAGAAAATAAAATTCTGCGTGGTAACAAACCTATATTGTTCAAAATTTAAATTCAAAAACCATCCATTTCCTTGTGTCAACAAGTGTCGGATATTGTCAAAATTAAAACAAAACAAATTATATGCACCTATACAGCAAAAACAAAAAACTTGTAACGAAAGAAAATTTTCAGTTCATCTATATTCCACAACGCATTCCGTTCGTAAAAATTCCTTGTGACGTACTTCATGCGGACATCGAAATCAGGTACGTAGTCAAACCTTTTAAGCGCGAGGCATTGTTTTTATTCCGCGCTCCCTGAATTAACCTAATGGATAGAATGAGTGATCGTACAGCTGCATGGTGACGAGATCAAAAATCTGATTTAATATTTGGTTTTTGTTGTAAACTTTGTTGTTGTTTAGCTCTTCTTCTTTTAATTCTGTTGGCCAAGACTGCTAGGATCGTTCGGCCAAGATTGTTTAGTATATTTCAGAATTTGATAAATCGGTTGCAGTTTTATATCCGTCATAATCTTGTCGACAGTAAAAAGTGCTGTAATTGATTTGGTATATATTACGTGGCCTTCCACCGGCGTATATATTTCTTTGATTTTCTTTCGTTGCCAATCTCGGTACATATCATTTGTGTCGTATTGTCTTCCTGCTGTGTCACAGTTTCGTTTTTGGTACCGAAATCTCTTATTATCTTCTCGCTTCATTTTTCTTTAAAATTTATAATCGGACGCTGATCAACTGCCGGTATAGCCAAGAAAAAGCCATATCTTACCGCTGCCGTGATTTACCACGACGCGAATTTCTGGGGGGAATTATTGTGGATCCCCTTAGTTAAACGAAAACCAGGCAAGTTTGACGTTTCCGTCAGGATCTTCAGCGAGGATATCTGCAAGTAAGTGGCGATTTTTATCTTTATTTAATATTAATTGTTAAGTGACCACTTTTAAAATAGCCCTGGTACTGTTTTCGATAGCTATTTTCACTTATTAAGCAGTAATTACCTTTTACTGCCGGTCCTTTTTACATTGCGAGTACGGGGAATATTTGTCGATATCAAGCCAACGAGGTGTAATTAAATTTGATATTTTACTCTTATTACCTTTCGTAACACTGTTAATTCTCTTCTGTTATAACCTAAAAATGTATATAATTATTTTTTCTACTCCCGTTTGCCTAATTAAACACCGATCTAGCGTGCGGATTTGGGACCAATCGGATGTTTTCACAGATAATTCCCAAGCTTTGAATTTTGACGTTTGTCAATTCCGACTGTCATGTTACCGAATGTATTGCATACTATACTTTTTCTAACGTATTTTACAGACTGGAGTATTATAATTATTATTCTTAATTCTTATTATAATTCCTAACTTCCACATTACGTAACAATTTTCTGACTAAAAGGCTTCTATTTAAGTAATTACAACAGAATACGAGTGTTCCCGGTGCGGTCATACCTCGATCCCCGTAACGTTGTATCTCGCGTTAGGCCACGAGAGGGAGTTGCGGCGTCGCGCAGCTTTGCTCGACCCACGGGGGTGCGTTAATGATACCCGTCGGCGATTCGCGAAAGACGATGGTACGTCATCGCGTTGGGGTATCCGAACCGTGTGCTTCAACATATCGGCAGTACATTTGATTAGCCCGCGACCACGTCACTCAAAAACGGTCTGAAACGCTAACGCCCGAAATGTGACTGAAAGCCGATTCCGCCGGAGAAGGCGTCAGCGAATGATTAACAGAAGGAAGTCACACTTCCGTTTTCGTAACGCTTGGTGATCGGAACCCCGGGCCTGTGTGATCCCGTGACCCGCGAGCGCTGATAAAACAAACCGTAATAAACTAAACACGCACACGCGGACGCCGCCGAACCTTCCACGAAACCCGTGGGATTTCATCGCCGCAGATGTTCGCTGGCAACATCCCGCCGAGAATTTTTCCGTTTTTAAAACCCGAAACGTCTTAAATCGGCCTATATAGGTGTATGATGCTTTCGGATACGTAAACAGAGATAGACGCCCGACAATTATTAACCAAACCGGCCATTGTTCCGAGATAAACGCGGTCGACAACCCAAGAGAAAAAAAACGTCCGACCAAATGCAATTTGCCAATCATGGATGATACATTTTTGGGGGCAGTGTTGGGAAATTTTTTTTTTATTTTAATTGATTTTTTTTTAATTCCATAAGAATATGTATTTTCCGTTTTTTTTGTAGCAATTACAAAATATTTTAAAGCCACTGTAAATAGTACAATATGCAAACTAAATTGCTGTCGTTTGTATCATTCCCAAACATCAGAAATACAAATAAGGAAAAGCAATAGACCTAAAATTAATATACCATGTAGAGCAGAGAATATTGTAGAATTACCTTTATCAAAAAAACAAAAAAAATCAGGATAGACATAAAAATTCACTCGGGAAATATACATTTATAGCCCACATGTTGAACCCCAAAAGGCTTTGGGAACAATAATTTACATCGAAACACTGGACTTTTGCCATTAGTAATAAAGTTGAATGCCCGCAGTTGCCCATTCAAAAAAAAATGTTTCAGAAGAATGCGTCAGAAGAACGAACTTTCAGCACTTTTGGTTTTGTCCACTCAGATATAAGGAACAGGATGGCTGGCCAAAAATTTTCTAACTATACATATCAGTATGAGGAAAATTTAAAAAAAAAAAACAAGCATCTCCAGAAAGTATCCGTACATATGTTAATGGGAAATCGAATTTTTGAAAATGCACACATTTAATTTGCATCGTTTAAGAATTTATCGAAAAATCTGCAGAAATTATTGCATTTCTCCTTATCAGACATCATAAAATGGTTGAGGAAAATATCCGTTAGTTTTGGTTAATTTTACAAACAGTTAATTTTACAAACATATTCGCAAAATTTATAAAAACAAAAAAGATTTCTTTTCCGGGGTTTTCTACCGTGATCAAGATTGGATTTTTAGATAACAAACTGGGAGAGAAAGACGGAGGGACTTTTGTTTGCTAGACTTAAATCACTCTCACACAATAACGCGTTATTTACCACAAACCGAAACTCAATTTTACCTTGGTATTAACATCCATGGGAATATGTTCTGTAATTTCAGTATGCAACGAAATAGTTCACAGACCACGTGAGCCGCGGAATACTACATCGTCTTTAGTCACTTTTAGTCGGTTGCTGACGAGGTCACAATTCTTTGACACGATTGTCAGAAAGTATGAATACTTTCCTTGGCAGAGAGCAATGGAAAAGTCGCTTTCAACTTGTTGAAGAGAGTTTGGTTGATCTCATAACGTTGGATAAGCTACTGCTTTTTATTCAGTCGATGAATCTTAAGATCATTTTTTTTTTCTTTTTGATCAGGATCAGTAAGTTAGAAAAAAATGGCATGATTTAAACAACGGTCGTGAATTTTATCAAACAAAATCTTTTTTTTTTTTAAATTATTTAATTAATTAAATTCATTATATAACTGTGTTCGTATTACTTGGTTCGTCTTGTGTGGCAATAATGCCGGAAATAATGTAATGACCAGTGTAAATAACGATGTGTTTCCTATTTATAATGCCATTGTAAAGTCGTAATTGCCTAAAATTGAAAGTAAAAAGATAAATAACGATATTTCGCTCGAGACCCAATTGTTTAGGTGATCGTTTTGCGATTTTTACGAGCGGGGAAGAGAAACATGGCGACCAGCCGCGTGTAAAGTCCAACAAATCGCGGTCAACGAAACATAATCAAATAATAAGGAATCAGCCGCGATATTTATACGGCGTGGTTCCCAAAATGACTCGACGAAATAATAGTAAATGTAAAAGTTTCTCTAGATAATATTCAAAAATTAATTTTCATTATTATTAAGGGCAAGCTAAGGGCCGTAGGAGCTTGGGTTTTTGTTATTAGATTTAGCGTTGTCTTTGTCCGTTCGGTAAAGGAATTAACAAGGTAGAAATGTTCAAAAGAAAATTTACGTACGCAGCATATAGATTAAAAGTACAAAACGTTAATAATCATACAGATTATGATGCTGTTAATTTGTTGCATTTTCCAGTTCATTGTTTTAAATTCAATTCAATCATGATTTAGTAGTTTCCGGATCAAAAAAAGTTTTAATTATGGCCGACGAAGCTTACAACATAATGTGCCAAAAATTAACAAAAAAAAAATAAAAAAAATTAATCTTTGCCAATACAAATAAGAACTAAAAGTTCAGATTTTCACGAAATTATATATTTTTACGTGACAATTGTTCCGACAACACCGTGGCCTTTATCAAACTAATCTTTGTTTTAAGTTGGAGGAAAGTCAAGTCATTAAATTAAAAATGAAGTAAGTGAGCGGTCTGTGATCATCGGGTGATGTGTATATAGGCAGTTCGTTTCAGGCATCGCTATAGCATACGAGGTTAGCGCCAAAATTTTCCGGCCTAACATAGGTGCAGCGCCAATATCACGGGAAAACTTTTTCTTTTAAATATATGTATCTTAGTAGACGGCGAAAAAAAAATTGAAGTCTTGCGTCAAATAGTTTTTTATTGACAGCATTTTAAACGAAACGCGTCCGAAAAAATGTCGCAAATAACGCGAATTGAGTATAAAGTCTAAAGTATAAAATTGAGTCACAAAGTTTTTTATTGGGTTGTTCGGAAAGTCATTTCGTTTTTTTTTTGGGGAACATGAAAGACAGTTTTCGTATAATGAATAAATATTTTATTAAATTATATATTGGCCATTCTGGTCCAACACCTTTTGCCATCTTTCTGGCAGTAACGTAATTCCCCTCTCATAAAAGTTTTGGTCCTCGCTGGCAAAAAACTGGTTCAGGTGGTTTTTGACATCTTCATTTGAGGTAAAGGTTTTGCCATCCAGAAAATTTTGCAGGGACCGGAACAAATAGTAGTCGGAAGGCGCCAGATCTGGAGAATATGGTGGATGTTGCAGTACGTCCCATTCAAGCTGTAAAAGTTTTTGGCGAGTGACCAAACTTGTGTGAGGTCTCGCATTATCCTGGTGGAACACTACACCCTTCCTGTTGATCAATTCGGGCCTCTTCTCTTTAAGTGAATCATTCAATTTGTCCAGTTGATGACAATAGACTTCTGAATTAATCGTTGTATTGTCCGGCAAAAGCTCAAAAAAAAACGATTCCTTTGACATCCCACCAAACGGAGAGCATCACCTTTTTTTGGTGAATGTTGGCTTTTGACACGCTTTGAGCCGGTTCATCTTTTCCGCTCCATGACCTCTTGCGTTTAACATTGTTGTATACAACCCATTTTTCGTCCCCAGTAATAATCCGCTTCAAAAATGGATCATTTTCTTGACGTTTGAGGAGCGAATCACACACGTCAACGCGACGACACAAATTTCGCTCCGTAAGGACATGGGGCACCCACACATCGAGCTTCGAGGTTAAGCCAATGCCTTTCAAATGGCCATAAACAGTCGAATTTGACAAATTTAATCTCTCACCGATCTCTCGTGTGATTATTCGCCGATTTGCATCAACTAATGCCTTTATCGCATCTTTGTCAGCTTCGACCGGCCTTCCAGACCGTGGTGCATCTTCGACATCAAAATTGCCGGATCGAAATTTTGCAAACCAGTTCTGGCACTGGCGTACTGTTAACACGCCTTCTCCATACACATCCGTGAATTTTTTTCTCGCTTGGACAGCATTTTTACCTTTTCTAAAGTAAAAAAGTAAAATATGACGAAAATGCTGCTTATTGCTCTCCATATTTAAAAGGGCACCAACCAAAAACTACTGCGTAGAATTAATAGAACTTTTTCACACACAAGCCTTGCAATATCAGCTCTCGAGACATATAATGGTTATGCGGCTTAAGTGTGAAGTTGGTTTCGAAAAAACGTAATTAAGTCCTCTGACGGGAAAAAACGAAATGACTTTCCGAACAACCTTATACAAAAGAAGAGTTACGGCCAAAGTTCGCCTTCGAATTTTGTAGTGAAAGGATGGGCAAAACGTTTTCGAATGGGGCAGGAGTCCGTTGAAGATGACTCAAGAACTGGTCCACCAGTGTAGGTCATAACGGAAAACATTGTTGCGATTGTGGAAGAGGTGGTATTGAGTGATCGACGTTTAAAGGTCAAGAAAATCTCAGAAATTACTAAGCTTTCTGATCGTCGAATCCTGCATGGTCATTTAGGTATGCATTACGCTAGTGCAAGATGGGTTCCTAAAAACCTTTCGGCTATTCAAAAACAACGCCGTGTCGAGTGTGCGCGGTCTTTTTTGGAACTCTGTGGGTCGGAACCGAAGCCTATGATAGAAACTATTGTGACGAGAGATAACACTATGGTTCTTCATTATGACCCTCTATCGAAAAAAAATCAATGGAGTGGCGTCGTAAGGGTGAAACACCTCCAAGAAAATTCAGAGTCTGCCAGTCAACAACAAAAGTGATGGCCACGATCTTTTGGGATTGTGAAGGAATTCTTTTGATAGATTTTAAAGAAACTAATGCCACTGTCATACTGCTGGCGTTGCACAAGCTGCCATTTTAGACTGTGGGTTCCAACTGAGAGATCATCCTCCCTATAGTCCAGATATGGCCCCCAGCGACTATTATTTGTTTGGATGTTTGAAAAAGGACTTACGTGTACGGCGGTTTAACGACGAAGTTGAGTTAAAAGAGGCCGTTTTAGCTCATTTTGCAGACAAACCAAAAGAATGCTTTTTAAAATGTTAATAAAGAGATGTACTACGTGTATTGAAGTTAAGGGGGATTATATTGAAAAATAATAAAAAATTGTTACTGTACTTTTTTTCTTTCACATTCAGGCCGGGAAATTTTGGCGCTGCCCTCGTAAATGCTACATTCATTTTAGAAATCGGACTCTATCTCCGATTTTTGCGCTTATTTCACGATTCCGTCACGATTTATAACTCGAACTTCATAATACCATTCAAACTTACCACGATCATCTCGGATGTCTCGAGCACGAAACATTCGTTCTGTCTGCGCGCGCTGCCTCCCGTCCGTTTCCCAAAGCTGCAACAAAGAGAAAAAAAAAACAATTACGTCGGATTAATTTTCTCGCATTGAAGAAGGCGTTTCGGCGCGAAATTGTCGATGACGCGCGGCAGGAGAAAAAGTCGCTGAAACAGGCGCGTTTCCTCCGGGAACAGATACCCCGCTGACGTCATTCGAAGACCGACGGGCCATGTGCCGGATACAACCATTGGGGCCACGTGGCGCTGTGGTGTACGCCAAGATCTAATGCAAACTTTTTTTGAATGTGAATAAAACTGATGTTATTAATGAATAAGTTAATAACTGACATCATTATGTCGTGAAAAGGGTTTAAGGTATGAAAGAAAATTTAGAGGTTTACCAACAACAATGACCTCCGGTTGATTGGTTCTCATAGTTTTTTTTTCGCCTTTTTTTTCTAAATAGCGATTTTCACATACTCAACTCCTTTTCCCTCAAGAATCGTAAAGCTAATCCGCCAAATCTGTTCGTAAGTGCAATGCGAAAACTCTCGATGGCTGTGACGTAGCTGAAGTCCTGTATTGGGAAGTAGCGTAGGATAGGGTCTCAGGTAGGGTAAAAATAATACACAAAACTAACGAACAACACGATTTACTTGTAAAAAAAAATCAACAAATACTTATAAACTAAAAATCCCTATTTTTTGATATATTAAAGAACATATTAAAAAACAAAAAATACATTAGGCATACATAACAACTAAAAAATAGGTGGTGGGTAAATAATATGTATTTATATGTGCCCTCGTATGTACATAAGAGAGGAGATGGGCTCTGGAGATGGATTCTTCTCTAGAATTTCACTTGTGGCATTCAATGCTGTTGCTAAAATCTCAGACAATACCTGCTGAGCTTCTTTTTTGGCATTTTTGGAGTCAAGTCTTTTTGATCTAGATAATCCTGCTTCTGTTGGTGGCTTCTGGTTAAATCATAATAGGGTGGGAACAGCAGTTTTTTTTTTAGAATCTCTTTTAAAGGTAAACCTAAAATTTAAATTTTGTGGCGAATTTAATGTGTTACTCAACGCAAAAAAAAACCTAATAACTCATTTTGTACGTCTCTTTCGTAATCATTTTCAGTAAAATGAACTGAGCAGACATAGCTTTTATCTGGATTAAGTTTGTCCTCTCTTCTACATCGAACTATCCACCCGTTCCGAATATAAGGTTGTTCGGAAAGTCATTTCGTTTTTTCCCGTCAGAGGACTTAATTACGTTTTTTCGAAACCAACTTCACACTTAAGCCGCATAACCATTATATGTCTTGAGAGCTGATATTGCAAGGCTTGTGTGTGAAAAAGTTCTATTAATTCTACGCAGTAGGTTTTGGTTGGTACCCTTTTAAATATGGAGAGCAATAAGCAGCATTTTCGTCATATTTTACTTTTTTACTTCAGAAAAGGTAAAAATGCTGTCCAAGCGAGAAAAAAATTGACGGATGTGTATGGAGAAGGCGTGTTAACAGTACGCCAGTGCCAGAACTGGTTTGTAAAATTTCGATCCGGCAATTTTGATGTCGAAGATGCACCACGGTCTGGAAGGCCGGTCGAAGCTGACAAAGATGCGATAAAGGCATTAGTTGACGCAAATCGGCGAATAACCACACGAGAGATCGGTGAGAGATTAAATTTGTCGAATTCGACTGTTTATGGCCATTTGAAAGGCATGGGCTTAACCTCGAAGCTCGATGTGTCGGTGCCCCATGTCCTTACGGAGCGAAATTTGTGTCGTCGCGTTGACGTGTGTGATTCGCTCCTCAAACGTCAAGAAAATGATCCATTTTTGAAGCGGTTTATTACTGGGGACGAAAAATGGGTTGTATACAACAATGTTAAACGCAAGAGGTCATGGAGCAGAAAAGTGAACCGGCTCAAAGAGTGTCAAAAGCCAACATTCACCAAAAAAAGGTGATGCTCTCCGTTTGGTGGGATGTCAAAGGAATCGTTTTTTTTTTGAGCTTTTGCCGGACAATACAACGATTAATTCAGAAGTCTATTGTCATCAACTGGACAAATTGAATGATTCACTTAAAGAGAAGAGGCCCGAATTAATCAACAGGAAGGGTGTAGTGTTCCACCAGGATAATGCGAGACCTCACACAAGTTTGGTCACTCGCCAAAAACTTTTACAGCTTGAATGGGACGTACTGCAACATCCACCATATTCTCCAGATCTGGCGCCTTCCGACTACTATTTGTTCCGGTCCCTGCAAAATTTTTTGGATGGCAAAACCTTTACCTCAAATGAAGATGTCAAAAACCACCTGAACCAGTTTTTTGCCAGCCAGGACCAAAACTTTTATGAGAGGGGAATTATGTTACTGCCAGAAAGATGGCAAAAGGTGTTGGACCAGAATGGCCAATATATAATTTAATAAAATATTTATTCATTTTACGAAAACTGTCTTTCATGTTCCCCAAAAAAAACGAAATGACTTTCCGAACAACCCAATAGTTCGGGATACTAGATCTTTCCCTTTGGGAAAGCGATCAAAACTACATTTTCGAGAACTTGCTTTTTCATCAAAATAGCATCATCTCGTTCCAGGCATGCCTAACTATTTTTTGATGTGACTTATCCCACTGGAAAAGGTAAAAGAAATGTATTTCTTACCTTTACCTATATTGTTATGTGTAATATTTTGAGCTTATCTCGTAACTAATAACACCGCTAAGAAGCAGCACGGACACAAAACTTTTAAGTTTTTGTTTTTCTCAGTTCTCGCCACTCAAGCACATATAATTTTAAAGTATTTGTTAAAGCTTAAAAACACTGTTTTGTCCAAGTTTTTTTTACAGAAATACAATTAACACAACCATAAGCGCACTACTCACTAGTTTAAATTATTTTAATTGTTCAAAAAACACAAAATACAACGGTCTACACAACAAAAACAAAAACCGTTAGGGGACTTCGCTTACGTCACAAGCGATCGACAATTTTGGCGAACGTATGTATGTCTTATGGGATTTGGCAATCCTATAAACATTTAACGACACCTAGGCATAGTAACTCACTATATCGTTATATACTCAATTCTTTTGCACCATGTTTTCGACAGTAAGTTTCTCTCAACAACAGGACAAAATATATAAATTTTCACCTATTTTTTCATTGTATAGATATCGAAAGTATAGATCTTTAAGATTAACTACGGAACTAATACGAATAAGTGGGGATCGCGGCGTTTTTATTACTCCCTTGTGGTCTCGGGGCTACTATACTACCTGTAGGTAACACTCGAGGTAACGATGAATACGTCGGTAACCCTCCGCGACCCGACGGATTCATTTATATTCCCGTTCCCATCAGCCGATCATTCGCTTCTTTTTTTCTTTCAATTTTAATGGAAAACAAAACACGCACCCGCGAGACTTAATTTATGAGAACGATTCGGGTTTCCCACCCATTGTTCCGGACGCTGGACTATACAGGGCGAACCATGGTTATGGACTCCGACTCGGTTGATAGGCAGTCATATTTTATTAAATAAAAAAGTCCATATCAACGGAATGCTTCGTACCCGAGGCACGTGGTGTTCAAATTCAATTTTTTTTCCTTTTTTAATGACCTGCTGAAGTCTACCAGATAATTATTTTTCTTTTTTTTTTATTAATTAAAGAGCCTTTTAAATATAACACCCGAAATGCCTTACGAAGTCACGATGCATTAAATGTCAGTCGGTGAGAATTGGTAAACTAACCGAAACTTCTTTAACCATTGATTCTATGGTACTGTTATCGTCGGATTTAATGAATGTTTAAGGTTGAGGACAAAAGTGGATCGCGACGTCACGGCCCATTTTGTCGACTTTCGCAAGCAAATTAAAAAAATAGGTGGAAGCAGCGTACGTTAATATTACTATTGATTTTTTTCTAACATCTTTGAAAATTTCCACCAAATTGGAGTAATTTCCATTGTTTTTTTTTTCGCCAAAAATATTTTTGAGCACGTTGAAATGGCAAAAATCTGTGTTTTCCATGTAAAATTGGTTTTTAATACTGACAATTTAAATTTAATACAAAAAAGAATATCAATAACGGTTCTTATAAACTTTTTAATCTCTTCTTTTCTTCGAATTGACAACACTAATCGTCTCCGAGACGAACCAATTTAAATATGATTTGGCTAAAATAAAAAATAGCTCCCTATTGATTGTAAGAGTTGTTCTACCCTGTAACTACTTTATTCTGCTCCGAAAAATTAATATCGTCGGCTTGTAGCCAAAAAAATGACGTTCCGGGCAAACGAATCGACTTTCACTGACGAAGACTGGCCACGCCTATACCGCTCTCACAAACAGCACAGATACGCTAGTACAGAGCGGGGATTCCGATTTTGCTTTTCTTTTAGGTAAACCCAATATTTTCCCGTATTTCTTTAATATTTCCCAATATTTTGGTAGGCTTTCCCCAAAATTTTTTCATATTTCTTCGTATTTTTTTTCAACTCTTTTTTTCCACCATTATATTTCCTTTATATTGTTAATTTTTTATAATTACTTTCCGTGTATAAGTCGGCCAGGGTCCAATTTTTCCTTAAATTATAAAAAGATTCTAAGATCGCTTTCGAAAAATCGTCGCTCGGCTGGGCAGGCAAGTTCGTAGCGCGTAGCGCGAAATAGCTTTATGTTTCAAAAAGAAGACGGTTTCTTGTCAAAAAAGGGACCCATTGTTTTTCTTCTACACCCTGTATGAATTGCCTTTCAAATTCAAAATTATGGCAAAATTTGTTAAAGATAAAAATTTCTACCAGTATAAACGATTTACAATAATATTTTTAGTCAAATATCTCACGCACCGTGTATAATTCACAGGAACTGTAAATTATACATTACATTAAGTTGTAGCTCTCAACACAGTTTACGATACTGCTTAAATAAAATTATCTTTTTCCGTTTTCATTTAAAACCAATAATGTACGGAAAAAAATGGAAATTTTTACCATTTTTTTGATTTTGGCCATAAACGGAACACCTCGTATATAATTCAAAATATAT